TTTTTTAATTTATTACATATTTTATATTTTTATTTTAGTTCTTCTGGCGCCCCACATTTCAACCACCATCATCATCGACATCATCCGCCCACACGCACCCACACCTGTCGCGCCGCTAGAGATGACTCCCCTGTCTTTCTGCTGCGCGTTCCACCTCCAGTAGTCTGGATGGGTTTCTTTAGCGTTGTTTAGTTTAGTTCGCTCGTAGTTAGTCAATCCTGGTCTAGTCCAATCCACTTGCGAATCCTAGATGGTTCATAGGGCCAGCAATCACATAACATTTAACAATGCTTTTGCTCCCCTCTCTCCGTCCTTCTTTTGTTCTGCAGGCCTCTCATTCCCCTCTCAGTACGGGAACCCTTCTGGTTGAATTCCTTGAGAGTGTGATACAAAAGCATCTCGTACTCTCCATCGTCCTTCGTCATCCTCACTTACTTTGGGAAGCAAGGGCCTTGATTCCTTGCCTGACTCGGGTCGACTGCTTTCATCTTCTGTATATCATTGTCTATTACTGCTCCATTGTCTTTCCCAATCGGGAAGTTGCAAAGTATTGCCGTGCCCATCCAAACCGATACAATCCTCTGCTTCCTGAGCCATTGCCTCGCATCACGACTGTTCCTCTCCTGGATTTAGACTACGCAATCTCTTGGAACTACTCAGCAGACCCTTGATACCCCATTGTTGGCCCGTTGGAAAGATCGTATGTTTTCCCGTGCGGCCCGTTCCTCTGAAACTCAATCCATCGCTTGCGAGGTCTCCCTTCAGTGAAGAACGGAATTGTAATGGTGGCTGACGATTAACACTAATAGCGATCTCAACCCTCGCATTCCAATCCCCACATATTGACAACAACCGACCCTTGAACCAAAAGCGGGCATGCAAGCCCACAGTGATCATCCCGACTTTGTCCTCTTTCCTCCACAATATAACATTGAAAGCGAAATGTTGGCATTCGAACCGTCGAGACAGCAGCAGACTCCATACTTCCAGCATTTCACCATGGATCCCGCTTTGACCGAACCCTTTACCTTTCATGTGGACCTGAGTGGCTTCGGACAAGCTCCTAATTCCTCACGTCTGCCCCAGTCGTCTCATTATGATACCCCGTCGATTGATGCATATTCCGATACCAATAAAGTGACCAGCTTCCCGCCGATGCCGGCTACTCCACCCTCAATCCCAATCTCACATTCCGAACCTTACATGCCCAGTCTTTCTACGGCCTCTGGTCCTTCAATCGCAAGTGCTTCGTCTTCCGCTATAGGCTCCCCCTACTCAGGAACTGCCCCAGCTATTCACGAGAATTGGGTAGACACGAATCACGGCCTGGGGCTACCGGCTGCGGTCATGAGTGACCTCTTCCCCAATGAATACATTGGGAACTCACTGGACATGGAAGGGTTCTATTCCAAGAAGAACTCAGATAACTATGTTGGTAAGCTGAATTGCATCACCCCCCCAATCCCAATCATGCTGTGGTAGATCGCTGACGAGTGCATTAATAACAACAGACCCTTCTTTGATTGAGACATTACAACCCCAAACGAACATTCCTCAATCGTCTATGCCATACCCTGAGCAACCGAACTACGGCTATCCTGGGTTCCATCCTCAATCCCCCGAGCTTCCCTATCTTCCCCAAGCCGAGGAGTGCCATACGAAGCAGGCAATTGCACAGCAGCTAAACCACATCCCGACATCTTCCCCTTTGATCAATGACCGGAGGTCCTCCATCTCCTCCGAGCTCTCCCGTCGCTCACAGCTGAGTCCGGCTGCTAGCAACGCGGATCTTGATGATGAAACCAAGGAGAAGGGACGGTGCCCCCACCCTGACTGCGGACGCGTCTTCAAAGATTTGAAGGCCCATTTGCTAACCCATCGGTCGGAGAGGCCCGAGAAATGCCCTATTGTTAACTGCGAATATCATATCAAGGGCTTTGCCCGTAAATATGACAAAAATCGCCATACTCTCATCCATTACAAAGGAACCATGGTCTGCGGCTTCTGTCCAGGATCTGGCTCACCGGCGGAAAAAAGCTTCAATAGAGCAGATGTTTTCAAGCGTCACTTGACTTCAGTACATGGCGTGGAGCAAACACCGCCAAATTGCCGGAAGAAGAGCCCAGCTGCGTCTAACAAGGCTATCACAGGGTATCGCCACGATGCGACTGTCAAGTGCTCGACATGCCCTGACACCTTCGACAACGCTCAGGAATTCTACGAGCACTTGGACGACTGTGTTCTCCGAGTGGTGCAAAAGGAGCAACCCAGTGAGGCTGTCAACCAAAGATGCCTGGCTGAAGTTGACTCGGACGAGGAGGTGAAGAAAACCATGGAGAAGCATAAGCTGCTCGACACGGCTGGTACCGTTTATCGATATGATGATGAATTTGACGACGATGAAGACGATTCAAATGAGGTTCTGTCTCTCCGGCGTTCCGCCAACAGTGCTATGAAAGCCAGTCGAGGCAGCGCAAGTACTTCCGCCCGTGTCACACTGGGAAACAGCGCTGTTACCAAGCGCCCAATCTCCTCGAAGCGACGGAATAACCGTGATCGCTACCCCCAATCCTGGGGTTGCCCCAGAAGCAACATCAACATAAGAAAGCGCGTTCTGTGTGTGTTTGATGGCCAACGCCGTCTGTTGAAGGATGAAATGATGCTCAAAAACGAGCATGAAGTTCGTGTAAAGCTTCCTGGTGGCACTGGCGACGGCACTAATCGAGAGGCATATGTGACCGATTTGGACGTTCAAACTTTGAAGCGCGCAGAAGGCATCCTGAGTGCTACTGCTGAAGAACGGGGTCCTTGGCTAGATGGACCCTCTTCTCAGATGATTGGGCCACCGGCCATGCCGATGGCCAGTCTGTCCCATCCTTATGAAGGAGAGGTAGATTTTGGTGAGCTTATGGCTTAAACACTCTTCAGTTTCTTGAGTTCGGCTCTTGTTTTGCATACGTGGCATGATGTTAGCGATATTTCTTATGCCTGGCTAGTGTGATACCATTCTCTGTTGTTGTTTCCTTTTGGATATACTGGGTTCCATCTTCCCAACTCTGTACTTATATGATATATTAATCCTTATCTCTGGCTGGCTGGACCTGCGGAGTTCAAGGAGAACAAGATGGAAAAAACAAAAAGCTTTTATTTATCAACATTAATTAAGTCATCTCACACTGATCTCCAAGTTCAGTGTGACTATACAAATATTTTCTCTTCAAACACTTGACTTGCGTGTAGTTGATGAATCGTTCAATATAAGCTTCACTGGTACTATCCAAGAATCGGATGACGCCAATCGGACTTTAGCCTCGTTTCTGCCCGCTCACATGCCCCCCCCCCCCCCGGCCTTCCGCTCCATCTGCCGCAGCCTGTTTTCAACCTCGCAACAGATTCAGAACCAGTCATTAACAACATGCAATTAGGCTTGTCAGAAAGTCTCCCAGCCCTCGTATCCAAGCGCTTCACAGCTGCTAAAGGATCTGGTCACCTTCTATTCTCTCAGACACACCTGACCACTATTCAGACTGCAGGGATCCCGGTCCGTACCCTTCCCTCTTTGAATCTTCCCCTACCAAGGTCAATGCTAACTATCATTCTCCTCTATCTTAGTATCAACTTCGGTATTGCCCTGCCCTTGCAAATAAGCCATCGGGAGCTCCAAACACTGAAAAGCCCACTACGAAGCCCAAATTCGACCCTTTCCAGGACCCGTCCCCAGAGCTCTTAATCGCTCAGATACCCCGAGAGAATCCAACTCATATACTAGTCCTCAACAAATTCCCCGTAATTCCCAATCATTTTATCCTAGCCACAAAGGAATGGAGACTTCAAACAGATATCCTGGAGAAGGAGGACTTGGATGCGGCTTATTCTTGCCTCAAAGCATGGAGTGAGGAGAACAAGGCAAACAGCGCGACCTCCAAGCGACTTTTTGCCTTTTTTAACTCCGGCAACGAGAGCGGAGCGAGTCAGCCCCATAGGCATTTACAGTTCTTACCCGTCGAAGCCATGTCTCAAAGTGACTCGGGGAGCTGGCAGCCCTTGATCGATGCAGTTTCAAGTCAACCAACAAGCCCCGGTTCTAAATTCTTGCGATGGGCCCAAGTACCGTTTGCACATTTTGCCCTTCCGTTGCCCTCGAACCCCTCTGCGGACACCCTACATCACATTTACCTGTCCCTGTATAGAGCAGCGTTAGCAGCTGCACAGGGCAGTGTGGGAGGTTCCTCCCCGACGACCAGTGGCCCAGCTGCTATCAGCTACAATCTAGCAATGACTGATTCAGTGATGATGATCTGTCCGAGGAGAAGTGAAAGCGCTCAAATCCCAGTCGACAGTGCAACGTCGGCGGAGGTCTCTGGGGCTGGCATCGTGGCCTTGAATGGTACAATCCTTGCTGGCACGCTCATGGTAAAAGCTGAGGCCGAATGGGACGAGCTACGTCGTAACCCGGATTCCCTTAAAGAGATACTGACGACAATTGGGTATTCTCACCCAGATATGCGCGAACTCTCTCTACTTTGAATTCTATGTCTCAATCATCCTCATAGCATTCCTTCTTAATCAGGAGTGCTTTGGGACAAGAAGCATTTATACGAAGCCATACAATGGAGAAAGAAACCGTACAGCCTTCAGGCCAATGTCCTACAGTGACTTAAGCAGTTGAAATTACACTATTAGAAGAGAGCGGACGGAGGTAAAAACAAAAGAAGTTGGGTAAAGGCTAGCCAAACCAGCCCAAACACAACAGATACTGCTAATAAGCCTCTTGTATCAAAGTAAACAATGGACAATCCAAGTTGGAAAGAGATGGCAAGCAAAGGGCCACAGTAAACCTAGGCTCGTCATGTGGATATAGTCAAACGCTACCAGAAAAGGCCGTTTGCACTTCCTTCATCTATGCACCCATCGAAGAACTTTCTGGGCATTACATACCGGAGATCAATTCCAGAGCTTCACACCGTGTATGTCGCACCACTTCTTCTTGCAAGTGGCATTTCCAAAGTGATATGAGCCGCCATGAAGCCAAATATATTGGGCTACCCTCTTCCAGGATACCTTGGGCGGCTGACTGGTAGTCGGAGATTGGCAGCTAGGCCCGTTACCACTACGGACTTGCTTGTCGTCTTCCATGCAGGCCTTGACTGCCTGGCACAGCAGGCTTATCTACAGACTCATCAGTATCAGTAATGGAGCCTGCCATGAGCACCATTGGGAGGCACTGACATCTTTCTCTTGCCACTGAGGTTTCCTCACTCGCTGTTCTTTGGATTTCGTGAGCGTCCGAAATCTTCCCCGGAGTGTTGACTCGGCTTCTTTGAAGCCACCAATTCTCTTGATGTCCTTGTAAGAGAGCCCGCGTAGCTTACATTCCACCAGGAACGCGTCTCTGCCGTTGCCGTTGCTGTGACAGGCCGTTTGCTTACTAACTCGCTGGCCCCGGAGAATGTATCCTCTGTTAGTTGCAACGGTTGGATGCATCAAGTGGTGTATACAAGGGCTATCATGGTAGGGCTGCGTTGGGCTCTCTGAGGGTCGTTCGTTGACAAGGGAGATGCTAACGTGCCCGACTTTGCTTTGGCAGCGGGCCGTATTTGGCTGCGCATAATATTGACAGGCGTTTTCCTGCAGTGGCGAACTATGAAGGTCGCCGTTGACAGTGGGAGCATGATCGAAGTCCTCTTCAACGTGGCCACCAAGCCCATTCATGCTCAGCCCACATGGAATGTCGACCCAGAAGGCATCCCCACGACTAGTGCTATGTTGTTGCACATTCCAGGCTGTTCGAACTCCGGAAGTGGACCAAGGAGGCGGCGTAGAAGGTCCGCTAACTGGAGTGAAGTAGTTGACAATAGGTACAGATCTATTTCCCGATGACGTTAGGAAAAGCTCAGATGAATCGACTCCGCTAGTTGTCCATTCTTGGGTTGGAGCTTTGTTGTCAATGAACAAAGGTTCGTGTGACTTATCAGGCGTGCTGAAGGGTGATATTGCCACGGATTCAGGCCCAGGCCCGGAAGGGGATGAGAAACTGCTGTTCATATATGAGATAGGCAGCCGGGGGATTGGATGAGCTATACCAAATATGACATTATTAGTCTCGACCTTTTCTCCGACTGTTAACTCTTGGTTGCCGGAATGCGCAGCGTTTTGTGTCTGCTGGCCATGAGTATGAGGTATGGATATCTCGCCAACGCTTCGTATGAACGAGCCTTGGATTTGCGACGATGACTGAACTCGACAACCATGAAATTGCACCTTACTTTCCTCGAAATCTGTTGACGTAAGAGTTTCAGGCCAGCAGCCAAGATCGTTTCTCATAGCCCCATGGGCCATCAAAGTTTTGTTTGCTATGTCATCAGGGCCCATTGAATGGCAGCCATTGGGTTCTAGCCAGTGGTGCATTTGGGATTCCTGACTCTCGGTGGCTTCTCTGGAACACAATATTGATTCAGTTTGCGGGGCACAGAAATTAGTCGGGAAAACACCCTCGAAATTATGAATGAGGGAATGACTTGAAGCCAAATCAGGAGAAACGAGGTCTTTGTCGAAGGCTAGTCTTGTTTTTCGCTTAACTGGATCAACATGAACGTGAACCATCGTCTTAAAACGAGACAAATAACTATTGCTGACAGCCACTTCACCGCTTCTGTCATTCATGATTCGAGTCAAGACTGACCGGAGAGCGTACAGGAAATGGTGCTGCTGAGTGATGCACGTTGCTAGTCTAATTACACCTGCAGCGATCATTAGCCCATCTAGCACTCGGAGAAATATGGGGAGGGTTCGATTGGTTTTCACAATCAACTAACATACTCCAACTATCCTGGGCGAGTTTTCGAGGCCTCAGCACAAGGGTCGCTTGAAGCTGACCGTGGTGTCTTAATCGCCGACAAGATTTGCTCTGGAACCTATGGCTCGGGAACTCAGGGATATGAAACAAAACAAGCAAAAAGGAGGCCAGCTCGGAAGCGAAAAGTAAACCGATTTGTCCTATGCTGATAGCTATAGGCTGGACACGAGACCTTTTTCCTCCTATAGGCCACGGTACAGAGATTCCAAGTGGTCGCCGTGATGTCTCAGACTCTCCCACCCAGCAGAAACTTCCTCTCACTGGTCAAGTAACCTGACTGGTGGAGGGCACTCTTGGGATGCTCTTGCCCAAAGTTATGTCGCACCCAAAATTGACTAGAGAAGCAATAGGTTGCCAACGTCTCTGAGACAAGAAAAGGCGATGCCCAACAACAGCATAGAAAAACAAGATCAGCTTGAGCTCTTGTATACTACCACCGAGATCAGCTGTCTCTTTTTGTAAGATCTCTATGTTAAACCCCCTGAAATGGCTGACAATCTCTATCAAGCCTTCTGCTACCCCTTCCCTGATGCGAAAACATTCCTTGCTCTCTTTAGAGTATATTGCCCCCCGATCTTGGGCTAGATAATGACGGCCGATGGCCTATGGTTCATCTAGTGCCGGAAAATAAGAATGGGTGCCACCAATCGTGAAGGGAAGAACTAAGTTTACAACGGTCACCCTGCAATACTTTACTAGGTGATCAATCGATGAGTCTCAATCTCGACCTCGCGGGTAGCCAATCGGCCCAATCGAGAAATCATTTGTGGTGCAAGAGGCGAAATGCGAGGCAAAGGAGCGTCGGGAACGCATGCAGGAAAAACAAAAGAAGATTTCGTGACTCTCTGTTTATCAGGTGGATGTGGCAGTTTTTACTGGCAATGTGTAGATGCATGCCCGGGTACCCACATAAGGCTTTGTTCATATCAACTTCCCCATGCCACCTTCAGCGATGACCGCATATCGCCACCTATGGGGCTTAGAACCCGAAACATCTGTTGGGCTCAAAGAAATGATCGGCAAGAACAACGGTGGCGCCGTTGGGTCTATAGAAGTGACGTTTGCTCCACCCTTTTGAGCACGTTTCTAGACTTTCGGGCCCTGCCTTTTCTTCCTTCTTTCTCTGAGCGTGGTCCAACTATTGACGGTGTGGGTACCAGTCATGGGTAATGTGCATATGCAGGTCACTTCAGCTCTATCCACAAGAGATAAATCTATGGCTAGACATGGCGAAGAAGGGATTCTAGGGCAGAAGTACGACCCTCAGGTACATTTAGGCTACTCCCGCATATGCAAATTCCTTAATTTCATTGAACCACTGCCTCTGGTTTCATAACCTACCACTATGCAAACCAATCGGTTTGTTTTCACGTCCTCGACCTGGAACAATAGCGGTTCTCTACTATCCCATTCCTTCTCTCGGATCGAAATCTTGCAGTACCCGCTACACAGTCACGTACACAGCCAAAGTACCTCAAGCCCACATCTCCCCAGCGAAATTTAGCAAATGGTACACAAGAGAACCTTCCCTCATTTAACAAAAAGAAAAGTAGAAGAGGGAAAAAAAAATACCCCATACCAGAGAGAGAAAGAGAGAGGCCCAGAACTTCTCTCCCCACATGATGCGTATTTCCCTTCTCCAGGACCCCTTGGCTTTGTCCCAGGCACACCGTCCACTTATCATTTTTGGCCCATGTTGTTTATGTAGTGTAGCCTCACCCACCCCGCGCACCATCCCCGAACCCCTTCCTTTCTCACACTCCATGCAACATAAAGGTCAACATTACCACTCCCCAAAAAGGAAAAATGTCAAAAGTACCTTCTTATCTAAGATCCAGTCTCCTGGGGAACCTGGAAAAGAAGAATTTTTAAACGCAGTTCGGGTTCCCAAGCGTTTGGTTCCGGGGGTCTAGATACATTTATACAAACCGGAAGGAACGGGCCGGGGTAGCATCAGAAACATCATTGTAAGCTCGATCTGCCATGATCGTAGAAAAAAAAAAAAGGGAAAAAGGAAAACAAAAGATAGACAGATGCTTTAATGTTTTGCTATAATATGCAATGCCAAATTACTATTCTGTTTCATCTTTCCTTCTCGTGAATATTAACAAGTAGATTAATTCAGGGGAATAAAATAAAAATGAACGGAGGGCAGTGCCAAAACTAACCCTAATTGAACCACGGCATTGCACTACACACCCTCATAGCCTCATATCCCAACAACGGTGTTACATGGTGAAAAAAACATCCCGACCAGATTTAATCTCTCAATGGGGTTTCCTTTGTCAGTACGACTGGAGTCAAGGGACGCTGGTGTACTACCAGTAAAAGGAACAAACTACTACCATGTGTGGCGCTAATTTTCCATCCCGAGTTGTGGTGGTATCTATAGGACACACAGTGTACTACAGTACATCGATCCTTCCTCGCATCTGTTGCAGGTGATGAGAGATTTGATGAAAATCTGTCCTGGGCCTGTGCCCATTATCGATTCCTATGGAGGTTGGGATTCTTGAGGCTGTTCGGGACAGAATTATATAATCATTTGAAAAGATCCTACACCGAAAGAAAAGGCAAGAGGAAACGGGTAATATAAGGACACACTAATCGCGCAAAAATAGAGGTGGCAAAGTATACCACTGGATTCGTTGATTCAGCTTCTCTCCTTCTCTATGGGACGAAGGATGCCCTACTGCATGATCTCATGTGATACACTTGCAGTCGGGCGTTTCGTTTGCGTGTAGATCTCCATGGCTGACTATTCGACGCATTTATAAATGGAGCCATGATAGGAAGCGGTCCGTGAGAAGCCCGGGGCTAGGACGTATCGGAATGACTACGCTTCCCTGCATCCTCCAGATTCACATTGGTCTCATGGTGGCTCTCATAGAAGTCTAAGAGTCGGTCAATGCCGGACACTGTGACAATCAGAACAGAGAAATTAACAGAAGCTAGTCAAAGGTGAACGGCCCACCTGTCAAAAGAACAAAGGTGAATGCGTATAATATCGTTGGAGATGTCATGAAATCGTACGCAAGCCCAAAATTCCTGACGAAAGACACTAAGCTCGCCAAGAGCACCCCCAGGATGATGCGGGTCGTTATTCCAATACTAGTGCAGAAGTTGTGGCGACGAGATAACAATGCAAAAGCGGCAAAAAGAAACATTACCAGTGATGCAACGACGAAAAAATATATGTAGACAAACCCTAGTAGCTCCATGTACAACCTCAGCAACTGCGAACTAGTCAACTGCCCTATGTTTGTCTCCTCCGAAGGTATGATCCCCATACTGGAAAACAGAGCGGCAGTAACATTACCCACAAGGTCATTGAGGTGGTCGTTGGTGATGAAGAAACCAATCACCTTCTCTCCCGGGCACAAGGGGTGGTTTGGCAAATCCTCCAAGATTGCGTCGATGGCCATCTTTTCTTTTATTGCGCCGCGGCTGTAATTAATCTCCATGTCCTCAATGGTGTTCCGAAGGAGACCAATGGCTATTCCGGGTCTGGGCCGTGGTTCCTCGCAAGCAAACATGATAGTTTCCTCGAGGTACGTGAGCTTCAAGGTAATGTCTAGGGTCAAAGCAAGGATCTGCGATCCTTCAAGAAGGAGTACTAGGGCCACATGAAAGGGAAAATGGAGCTGGGCCCATAGCTGCTGGGAATATTTGCCAAGTATGCCCCTTGGTGAGAGATCGTAATACGCTTGCCACAGAAAGTACTACTCCCGAGGCGTTAGCAACCCCGAAAGGGATAATAGATCGAATCTCTGAGACCCCATACCACATTAGTAGTGACTCCTAGAATGTGAACAAACGACCACTTAGTCCAGCCCCCCGGCCGCACAGTCCTATTCACAATTCTGGTGACTGATATGACCCCTTCGCCAATGATGATTAGTGTAAGGAGACCCATCCTTACATTCAAGTGGGTATCTTGGAGCCCAATTCCGGGTGTCACACAAGATACTCTCATTATAACCCACATCTCTAGCCCGAACAAAGCAAACCAAACGGTCCATATATAGGAACGGATCCCGTCCTGCACCCCGAAGATATAAAACATCTATCCAACAGGTCAGACTATGCATGTGGCTTCAATAATAGTCATTATTTGCCTGTGCGGTAAGCATACCCCCAGATAGATTAAGCTTGAGACAAACAGCGTCGCGGCGATGATGGAGACCCCTTTGGCAGCAGGCTTCATTTGTTTCCGAATGAAGACGACATTGTTGACCGTATATTGCAAAGCCAGTAAGATTCGACTTCCGCCGAGAAAGATACTCAGTGATTGAAAGACCCAAACATTTTCGTCTTTAACACGGGTGGTAAATCGCGTGCCTGCAGATGCAAAACCAACCATAGCTGCTAGTTGTATTGCCTTGCAAGTTCGTTCGAAAATCGAGTCCCTGGCGAATCTGATATCGAATAGAGTAACCTGAAGCCACGTGAACCAAATCACCCCAAGAAAGCCTATGTAAGCTCCTAAGGCTTCTACATTGTGAATTTCATGCGTAGCAGTAAAGGTAGAGAGATTCGCCACGAAAAACAAGTCAAAGAATAGTTCAATAGGAGTAGCATCGAAATGCCTGTGGAGGCGTGTTCCATGGTTCCGATCAATAGGGGTCTCAATAAACGGTATGGATTCTCGCCGGCTGCAGTTTGTCATGAGCCAGGCATATATATCAGGAAGCTCCTGGTTTGACTCACTGTGCAATTTCACCAGTATGCGAAGTCCTACGTAGCGGTTGAAAATAGAAGAAAGGCATTCGCATCATCGTCAAATGGATTAGATGAAACAGTTAAGAACTAGTCGATTGGTAAGTGAAGTCTAGAGTGTTGGGTATCATAAATAGGTCTTAAACCAGGCTGGTGTCATTTCAAACAATCCTTTCGATACGCCGGAAAGAACGACGGGTGATGTCGAACCTTTCCTAAGAAGCAGGTAAGCAATCCAGAGAGGCAGGTGCATATATGCCTGACCGGGATGAATCACGACTCGTCCTCGGAGTTTCCGGTTGATACTGCCATGGAATGGCCGATACTCTCCAATCCTCTCTCGGCAGCAGAATCCTCGTCCGAGCCAGGAGTGCGCCCAGCTTCTTGTTTGAGTTTCTCGTAGTTATCCCCAGCTTCTTTGATTAAAGCCTGGATCTCTACTTCTCGCACAGCTATATCGGCCTTTTCCTTTCTCAGTTCTTCCATTCGATCAATCATCTGGGTTTTCGACTTTTCCATGACGGCCAAAGTTGTGCGTAAACGGTCAAGACAGGTTGATAGGCGTGGTAGGGAAGTCATTTTGGGAGGAGTCTTTGGTCGATCTGTATAGTCTTTGCCGCCGTGGCCCATGGCAGCCTTTGTTTGGGCGGCTTCGTAAGCCGCCTTTTCTTCCAAATCCGACTCGTCCTCGTCCGAGACCCCTTCGGCATCTTCAATGAGCTCTCGCATTTCTTCACGCTGCTTTTTGACCCTCTCGCGCTCAGCCTTCCTCCCCAGCGTTATGCGGCCATCTTCCACAAACTCGTCGAAGCCTTCTGCGAAATCCTCGTCATCCCGAATAAGCCGAGTGTCCTTTAGATCCTCTTTTGCATTTTTCGAGCCCCAATCTTCATCCTCCATAGTATCATCCAGTGAGATAAAGTCCTTCTCTGTTGAGATTCCATACTGCTGTTCTTTGGCCAAGCGTGCTCTTCTTTCTTTTTTCTCTCTAATCTCCGTTTCGCTAGGAATGGCGGCCGGCGCCGTGACTTTCATAACCTCGCCAAACTTTGCTGCAACATCAATAGTCTTCTCTTGATCGTCATCGGTGGTATTCTTTGGTGTCGAAGGCGTTGAATTTCGAAGCTCCTTCAAATATTCATTGCTATAACTTGGCCGATCTTGTTCTGGGCCAATTCTGAGTGGAAGCTGGCCACCTGATCCCGATGGCGTGAGTGACCTCTGTAAAGCACTATTTTCCGCTGCTCGCCTCCCAAGTCCTTGCCGTTTCGGTACTACCACTTCACTTTCCTGTTCGCCATCTTCAGCCATTGAAGTTTCTCCGGGGTTGAACGATAGGCGCGTTTTGGATTTTAGTTTCGTTTTAGAGGACATAGGGCGCTTGACAACTGGCCCAATATCTACGGCTTGTCAGCTACTCAATCTAGGGAAGCGTTTTGGGTTCGTGTTGCGCAGAAACTACTGACCTTGTTCGCCGTCATCCTCTTCATCGTCCCCGCCAATCTTGCGGGGTTTTCTGCGGTTCGCAAACTTGGAACTCATAATAAGAATTTTGTATTAGCAACACTTTGATATTCCTGGTAGATATATTGCTTATCGCAGGGAAGTGTGCGTTGTTTCAATAGTTGCGTCAATCTGAGCTCCGCGCATCTTTGGAAGGTGCCAGGAAGAACATTTCTCCGACACAGCTTTAATCCCACTGCTGTGTCTCAAAAGTTCCGCCGCGCGACTGACCTCGACATTACGGCGGGATATACACCAGAACTCACTAGCCAAGATGCCTCAAGCTCAGCCCGAGTTGAAGAAGGTATACCTTGCGACTCACATTTACTTGTTGTTTCGGACAGAAAAGGAGCTGACGGAGTTGTTTGACTAGTACATGGAAAAGCGGGTATTTTGCCAACTGAACGGCAACCGCAAAGTCATTGGTATCCTGAGAGGTTACGATGTACGTTGAGACCATCCGAACTCTTTTATTACTGCGGACCTTTCACTGGGCGGCCCCGAATGCGAAAGCGTTGATATCAGGAGACCAGTGAGGTTATATAGAGTGGGATCTGACGGTTATATGACACAGGTTTTCATGAACATCGTGCTTGACGAGGCTTTCGAAGAGAAGCAGGGCGGAGAGAAGGTCGCATGTGGCATGGTGGTACGTTTGGAGACTTATCACGGTGGGAGTTTGTAACTAATCATCCTGTGCAGGTCATTCGCGGTAACTCGGTCGTCATGCTCGAGGTTAGTATATTTGCTGCATACCCACAGTTTTGAATATGGCTAATGCAAGCGATCACTACACAGGCTTTGGAACGTATAAGCGACAAATAAAGGAAACGCTGGATACCTTCATCGTGGGATTAATTTAATGCAGTACGGAGTTTACGGGTCGGTTGCTCTCTTTGGAACGATCGAAGGCACTTCGATTTCATCTCAAGCATGTTTACGATCAAATTGCAGTTTCAATATTTGAGGGATCAAATTCAGGGGTTCCCTTGGTATATCTTATCGAGAGACATAATCTTTGACGACACAGCCTGATGATTGCTATGCAAGACATCATTCATAACATGGCTCGAGAATACCGCATCAAATGGGCATGAAACCGGCAAACCAGACGCGCATTTGAGAAAGAAAACCGGAACAGGGGAATAGATGGAGAAATCTTAGAAAATAAAATCGAGAAACGATATTCATTCCACCCTCGCGCCATAAGCCTCCTTTACCAGCCTCCCTCCAAAATAGAGGAATAAGGAAAAAATAATAGTATAAGGTACATGACTGAAGAATGATAAAAAGAAACACATTAATTTATTTTGGCTTCTGGCCAAATTTTAATTTTAATTTGAACCCTCCACCCCCCGGAGTAGATGGGGTGGTTGGAGTGGCGGGTGTCCTGGATGGCGCTTGAGGTACGGGGGAAGATCGATTCGGAATTTGCAGCTTGGTGATCGGCTGCGGACGTGGACTTGGATGTGCTGACGGGGTACTTGGACCAAGCTTTGACTGCTTGAATGTGATGCGAGGAGCAGGGGGGAGCATGCCCGGTTCTTCTCGTTTGCGTTTTGCAGGATTTGCGTCTTTTGATGGAAGTGAGGTGCGGAATTTGCTGGAGCGAGTGAAATGCAGACGTCCCTAAAGGATATATTAGCGTTGTTGCAAGATGGTCTGGACATGATGCAGTATAACTCACCTTGCCGAGATTCTTCACTTGCCAATACCGCGGATACTTCAATGCAACCATCCTGCTAGTGGTCGGGTCATACAAGATGCGGCAGAGATCAGTAAACTCGGAAAGTTCCAGGATGCCAATGCACGGAGAGTTGCACGCAGCCCATAATGACTCCTTGAGGAGTTGGTCGCCTTTGAGTTCACCTTTAAGTGCCTCTATGGCTCCAGGGACTGTCTGCCTCCGCGCGAGATCTGCCTGGCGGACCTCGGTGGAAGATTCTTGTTCAATGATTAAGCCGTCCCCGGAAGCCGCGGTCTTATCGCCTGATTCACGACCAAAAGCCACAGGAGCAAGCGCCTTGCCAAACAGGTAATGAAGCCGCCGTCGAAGCCAAGAAGAAGAGTCGCTCGACATGGTAAAAACGAACCATCTTAAGAGTTCAGGGCTCTGGAAAATATCGGTCTCCACAAGACACTCAAACGCCTCCAAGCGAAGGAGGTCATAAGTGCCGGCCGGGTATAAGGCAGGAACTGCATTATATCCAACTCCGTTATTTTGGCTTGCATGAGCTGCATCTGACAGCGTAGTGTAGTACGAGAATAGAGGTTCTGGTACGAGCTGGACCACTCATCCATTCTTCGATATCTATCAATTTCGGCAATGGCGTCTTTCTCCAATCTCTCTTCAGCCTGAGACTCAAGGACCCCCTCCATGTCGAAATCATCCAGATCATGGGGGCGAGACTCAACTTTGCCTAGCATCGCGTGACAAAGCGACTGCATAAGTGTCGCGACATAATAGTTATCCGAATACTAGAAATGACATGAGCTTAGAACTAGGGCCAAGGAGATGTGCTTTAACCCACCTCGTTGTTGGAATTATCATTAAACCGCAGCTTGTCATAAAGAAAACGCTTCACGCGCATCGGTGTTTTCCCATTGTTATCTCTTACTTTCGAGATAGCATCTGGGATAACCAATTGAAGCACATAAGCAGCCCTATCGGAAAAGTCATTTGAGCGGGTCATGGGTGATCCTGGCAGACAGAATAATTCCTGGAACGCTCGTTCCAGGTGGAATAGCCCCAGCCAGTTAATTTCTTCCTTGGCATGCTTAATTAAGGCCTTTGCTGCGGCCACACGGATTCCGTAGAAGTACCTTCGGTCCATTAGGGTTCGAACAAAAATCGTGGAAATCAACGGGTGTTCTCTTTGGGCTGCCATATATTGTAGAGACTGGTATGTTTGTCAACGTAAGCTCTCAAGGCAGCGACGATTCAACTAACCTCTAATTGGGCTATCACATCTCGATCTTGTTGGAGCTGCGAAAGGTACATATAACCTGGCATCACCAAAGAAAGCTTGCAAATCCACTCGAAATCCGCGTCCATGCGAATCCATTCGTAAGACTCCTGGCCCATTCGCTCCTCGTCTTCCTTGCTCCAATCAGCCAGCTTCCACTCTTGGATTTCTTCCTCACTCTGGAGTACATCGCCCAAGCAATAAAGCAAGACATCCTCTTGTGCTTCTGCATTAGGATCACCCCCCGAAGCAGCAGCGGCCCGTTCTTTCTGCCTTTTGTTCCGCTTCAAACGCTTGTATTTGGTGTTATAAGGGATATCGAATTTGGTGACACCTTCTTTAATCTCGACAATATGTTCATAAGGTGTGCCATCAGCTTCGTGGATTCTAATCGTCATGGAGCCGGTAAAAACCGGCTGAACAACACCGGCATAGATACCCCGAATCTCCTCCTTGACGTCGCGCATAAATGTATTCCTGTCCAGGTCACGTGTGCTGGGCTGTTCTGATTGCACTTGTTTTATCATCATTTCCACTACAAGCTTCTTTTTATTGAACCTCTGTGTAGCCTGAAAGCGGGGACACCCAGCACCAAAGACCCATTGCTGAAAGAATGAGTCCAGTTTCGCATGGCCTAGTCGTTCACAGGTCTTTTGAAAAAGCATAGTGGATACCGCCCCGTTCGGGATATCGCCCATTCGAGCATTGAGAAAAAGCCGAGAAATGATGCGGGACATTGTGGCCTTCCCACTAGCTTTCGTAAGCCTTCGGTCGAGGATGAAAAGCACAAGAGGGGCCTTAAGCGCTATGAAATCAATCTCGGAGGAGTCAAGTTGGAGTATATTTCCCATGTCAAATATCGAGGGACGCTCATAATCCAACTCGCACACTCTATCAGACATCTGTTTTAGTCGAAAGCGATGTTCATTATTCCCACAAAGCTTCCTCATAAACGTATCTGTGATGAACCACGCGACGCCTACTGTGACCCAAGTATCAGTTGACGCCTTTGGAACGATGTTTACACCGATCCACTGAGACGCAAGGCCGTAAACTAGAGCACGGGTCGCGTCGTACATCGGATCGATAATATCTTCAGGAAATAGGAGATGACTGCTGCAAATTGACAAGCACGCTGTCGACAACGTCTCCTCGGGCGTATCATCTACAAAGCACATTTTGTAACTTGAAAATGGATACGACCCATATGATAAGGAGAAGAAGTCGATCGCCTTCGCCATCGGAAAGCAGGTGTTCCTGAGTTCATCACCTCGCCCGGGAAGGCAAAAAGCATGCAAAGGAATGGCATTCTGGCCAAGCTGCTCATCTTGGTCGCTCTCCCGGAAATGTGCAAGGTTGACATATTCGAACGGGCCAACAGCAAATCCAACTTGCTGGGCAGAGAGCGGCGAGGTACATGCGAAGGATACTGTCTTCTTGCTGGTATCTTTCGGATCAATAATCTCATCTGTCATATCACCAGAACAAACCACAAGTAGGTCCAAGGCTTCATCATCCGGAGATATGTATCGACCAAAATTCGACGTCGGTTTAGGGCGTCCAGAAGCGTCGGAGCCGGATGGATCGCGGGGTTTGCGGTCAAACACATCCCCTAACGAACAGGGGCATTTGATAGAAAGTTCCCAGGTGCAACGTGACGAAGGGTCGTCAACACAAGGGAAAAGAGGGCAACCGGCCCCATATCCAAGCGAGTTTGTTGTAAAGGCATGTGGATAACGTCTGTCCCCATTCTCGACTCCCACGAACTGCAACCCATCCTTTATATTGTCAATAGTGAAATCGATGTTGACCGTCAATGCCGTGAACCGCGGAAGCGTAGTATCTGGCGCTTTGGAGCTCAAAGGGCCTTCAGAATCGTCGGCAGCGCCAGTTGCACGGAGCGCCATTTGGTCTTGGGCCTCAACCGAGAAAGGATCAAGTTCTTCAATCCTAACGCTCTTTGGGACCGACACAAGCAGGTCGGGCTCCGGCGGGGACTTAAGCAAGCCATCTATTTTCGAAGCAAGTCGTTGATGATAATGAGGACCGTACAGTTGTAGCGACTCGTAGGGATCCGCATATTTCATTGACGGTATCTTTCCACAGACATTCAAGCGCCTAATCTCGCCCTGTCGGAAATTTAATCGAATGACACGGAGCTCCTTGTAGTGTGGATGGATCGTAATTTCAGTTTTTCCCTTAAGGCTCTTATTTGCAAAGTCTAGCTCCAGCTCAACCTTCTGGTGCGCAACGGTATAGCCCAGTCCCTGCCAGGCAGAGCCGGCAGGGGCATCGACGACGCCAGGCATTGCGCAGAGTACTCAGTCGTGCACTGCGCCGCGAGCGCTTCCCTGTTCCTCTACCGTCATGTCCAAGCTCAAGGAGCAACTCTAAAACCTCTAGTATAGCGCTTTCAGTCGACACTGAGATGATGAATAATATGAATCGTTGATGCGAAGAAGTTCGTATGCGGTAGTTGAAGCTTTAGCAGCGGGGAACAACGGCCTGAAGTGGTTGATAGATGAGAGTTATTCAAAAGACAGCTGAAGGAAAACGACGTTTACTCAGAAGTTATGACACCTAGAAATAGGAAGAAACTTTTCTATTACCAAACAGTAATGAGCGTGAAACGCAAGAAGAAAAAGCCACAGGGCTCTTCATCAACCTCCAACTTTCACTCTGTTTCTCATGTCGCGTTGTTGCGTCGAAAGCTGCGGAGCTCACAGACCAGCCCGCCCAGCACGTGATAAATTGTGATCCGCGGATGGAACGCCCGCCGATCCTCTTGGGGTCCCTTTTCGTTCCACTCTTTTTCCTCAGGGGATTTTAAGGATCGTTTTCCTATGTGTTTGTTATAAAGCACCGCAGATTTTGGTTCAACCCCTCATCCTTCAATTGTCGTTGTATCTCCTACTTCATAGCGCGATGAACTAAACCCAATCATACGATACAATTTGCTGAAGTACTGATATACCATTCCATTGGCGGAATCCGAAGCAAAATGAACGCAATTTTCGAGAGGATCCAAGGTTCGTTCCCTGGTTCTATATCAGGCATGAAGTCTTTTTTTTTGGCTGATTCTTTATATCGTACTTAGCGAACCAAGACTCGCTCTCCGACGAGGCTCTGGCGCCGCTCAAAAGCTACAAGTACCAGAGTGTGGACAAGTCCTTCATCTCTAGATATGTCTTGAAGCACTACGTACGATATCCTTCACCTTACGCGATACTCGCCGTGAGACTCTTGTCTAACAATGGCCTTTGCTCTTTAGTGGAATGCGTTTGTCGAAGTCTTACCGATGTGGATAGCTCCGAACATGGTAACCTTATTGGGTTTTATGTTCATTGTCGGAAATGTGATGCTCATAGAGATGTTGATGCCTGATCTTGTGGGACCTGTAAGCAAACAACCGGCCTGCTTACCAATTTCTCGCCCAGCACTAAGCCTTGTCGATGATAGGGTCCCTCCTGGTTATATTACAGCTTTGCTTTCGGCATGTGGATGTAAGCATTAAGAACCGATATTATTGACTGGTCTTATCTCACATACCAAAGGTACTCCACGCTGGATAACGTTGATGGCAAACAAGCTCGGAGAACAGGAACGTCTAGTGGGTTGGGGGAGCTGTTTGAGTGAGTGAGCATTTTGGGAATAACGGGCAGTTGCTAACATGTAACAGTCACGGAATCGACTCCTTGAATTGTACGCTTGCTAGTCTACTGGAGACTGCCGCGTTGGGCTTTGGCTCCACGAATCTAGGCGCCTGGACAGCTCTTGTTCCTTGCCTCGCGATGTATTTCTCCACCTGGGAGACCTATCATACACATACACTCTACCTCGGCTACTTCAACGGCCCTACTGAGGGTCTTCTGATCGCAATTGGTTTGATGGTGGCATCAGGCTGGTATGGTCCTGAAATATGGTCTCGGCCGATCGTCGAGTTCTTGAACATCCCCCAGATCTTTGGAAACAACTCCGTGAAAGACCTTTGGATTCCTCTCCTTATCTCATCATTCTTCTTGGGGCATTTGCCTGGTTGTGTCTACAACGTCATTTCTTCAAGAAGGAAACAGAATCTCCCCATATCCCCAATATTCAAGGAGTGGGTACCAATGATCGTCTTCACTGGATGCAATATGGCTTGGCTCTTCTCTCCTTATTCGAGCATATTGGCTGATAACCGCTTGGTGCTGTACTGTTGGACAATCTCATTCGTCTTTGGACGGATGACTACCAAGATCATTCTTGCGCATCTGCTGAGACAGCCATTCCCTCATTGGACTGTCCTGCAAACTCCTCTGGTTGGTGGTGCTATTTTAGTGAACTTGCCCTGGATTGGTCTTCCCGGGTTGAGCGCATGGGTGGAGCTCCTGTATCTGCGGGTTTATCTCCTCTTTGCCTTTGCAATCTATATGTACTGGGCATTCTTGGTTATCAACCGGATCACGACTTTCTTGGGAATTAATTGTTTGACGATTCGGCGCGACAAGTCGGCAGCCCGAGAGCAGGCTTACCGTGACATTGGTGAGACACATTTCGAGGATGCCAATACTGGTGGTGACACTAACGCTGGGCGCTATAAAAGTCATTGAATAGTTTCTTTAACATGGGCTGGTTACGTTTGGCGTAGCTGACCAGATATTTGTTTATCCCAAGTTCGTTCTGATCAGCACGCTCTCGGGCTATTTTGTTCCGACGGTCAATCATGACAGGGCTTCCCGGCTCGGCCAATGGTGCATATGGATTGAGGCGGGATCCGAGGTGTTTTCTAGAGGCCCAGGCCTCGCAACATCAAGAGCCAGGGGCCAGGCTACTGTAGCCTGACTTGGTCTAGCTTGTCTTCTCAACTATATATACTTTCTGTGATTACGTTTCTAATGGCCTCTATGGATATGCCACTGGCGCAACTTATGAACTTACGACCTCTGTGGATGGCTCCCGCAAGAGTGATTATGAAGACAGGTTATGGATGCAAAGCTTCTGATGGTATATAGTTAGATAGTATAATATTAATGTCCATAGATGTGTGCCTTGAATACTGTTCTTCCCATGACCATGTGTAAGATGTTGTAGGGTTAAGGCCTTCACTGGAGCTCTCCCGCCTGGCTCGGATGGTGGAACTCAGGTTTATTTACCAGGTCGAAGGTTCTTACTACCGTGCTCTATATTGCCTAAAATTGAGACCCAACCAAACAACAGGTCCCGTAACTCAGTCGGTTAGAGTGCTGAGCTAATAACTCAGAAGTCGAGAGTTCGAGCCTCTCCGGGACCAGTTTTTTGTTTCTATATCTTTTTGTTCCCTTCCTTCCCCCACTTCCCCTCCTTTCGGCCCTCCTCTCTATCCCTTTCTTTCTCCTTGGTTTTCGTTTCTTCCTTTCGTTTTTAAATGTAGTTGGAATTAACAAGCTACCAACCGAATTAATGCCGCGAAGTCATCATGTAAATTCATCACGTTGTTGAAGTAGGTAGTGCGGGCGAGCTTCCACTCCATATGCTAGTCGATATCAACGTCGGTCTCAGGGCTGATATGCTACCTCCACTTCATATCATTTCAATGTCGGGTCCCTTGCATTGCAAGCCAATGACTCTCTGTAGCTGCTCCGATAGGCCACATAAGCGTCTGCTAGGGAGATAAAGCCGATACACCGGTAGATAGTGACAGGTAGTATGATGTCTAACTACCATCAGTATTACTAGTTGATGACACCGATGCAGTGTTACATTGCCATCTGTGATCACCGCCCGGCCTTCCCCGGTGATCTGACCGGTAAATCCGGTGAACTGGGAAGTTCTCCGGCTTAGTAGAAATCACCGGCTCTCATTTGGCTAACTATGCTCCTACTAGTACTAGTACTACTATTACTACTATTACTACTATTACTACTAGTAGTACTTGGAGGAGTGAAAGTACCCGACACCCTCCCTTATTCACGGTCAACCTCATCCCTGTGTTACTGACAAGATACCTTCGCATGGTGTGTCACTAACTATACCTCCTGTTTATTTTCTATTGAAGAAATTGCTCCAATCGCCCTTACTATCCTTGCATACGTCTAGCCAGTAGAACTCACATAGAGCGCTCGTGCCCACCCGTGGAGAGTATGTACAGGTCTACAGATACTTCTGTTCCTGGCATGAAAGCGCCAGACAGCAGAGAGTCTGCAGTTATCCAAGTCCAAGATGCAGACGAGCTGCGTTTGGCCCAGATGGGTATATTACCTTTTCCAATCACAACAAAATTAGTGTGCATGCTTATTGTTTGCCAGGTCACAAACAGGAACTGAAGCGCCATTTCTCTGTTTGGAGCTTAATTGGACTGGCTGCTAACTGTACCATCTCCTGGACTGGTAAGTTGGCTATCAATATGTGCGGTCGGTCAATCATTGCTGATACTGTGAGCTGGTAGGGCTGGGACTTGGCTTGATCACGTCCATCAACGCTGGTGGGCCCGGTGCTCGTATAGTCTACTCCTGGATAGAGTAAACCAGGGCTATATTACTGACCAAGCTAGTTATCTACGGATTCATCCTTGTTTTTATCCTCCAGTGTTTCTTGGGCACGTCGTTAGCTGAATTCGTCTCGGCTTACCCAGTCGAAGGTGGAATGTACCACTGGATCGCAGCTATTGCCCCAAAGCGCTATAACAGTCTCTTGAGCTTCCTGACCGGCTGTTCTACAGTCTTTGGATGTGAGACGATAACACTACTGTTAGTTCTGGCTAGAGGCTGTGCTAACTACTCTACAGGGATTTTCACGGCGGCATCAACAAACCTGGTCTATGCCTCAAACTTCATGGCCCTAATTGCGTTGTATCACGATGACATTAAGCTTCAACCCTGGATGACCTTTGTTGCATATCAGGTCTTGAATGTATTGACATCTGCAGTGGTTATGTTTGGAAACCGCTTCATTCCAAGGATCAATAAGTTTGCCTGTAAGCTGAGCTAGGGCAGCAATGATGAGGGGCTTGCTAACGGGAAGAGACAGTGGTATACCTCCAGCTAGCATGGTTTGTCATCACGGTCACAGTGGCTGCGACAGCACCAACCCATAATGATAGTAAGTTTGTTTTTCGAACCTGGATGAACAACACAGGTTGGGAAAGCAATGTTATCTGTTTCATCACAGGCTTGGTGAATCCGCTATTTGCTCTCGGCGGATTGGATGGCATTACAGTACGCATTAACCCCTCGTTCCTGACGCATTGCTAACGTGGCTGCAGCATATCACCGAGGAGATGCCAAACGTACGTGAGCATTTTTATTGCAACAGAAGACAGTAATAGCTAATATTTCGTTCAGCCCGGGCGTAATGCACCTTTGGCCCTAGGTCTGTCTCGAGCATCCCCAGTCTAGCTCGCCGCAAGGAGCTGACCGATTTACCGCAACAGCGTGCACCCTCATCATTGCCTTCATTACTGGACTTTCTTACCTGCTCAGCCTCATGTTCTCGGTGCAAGACTGGTCGAGCCTGGCAGACAGTCCAACGGGTCTACCACTTGCAGCGATCTTTGGTCAAGCAACACAGAGCCGTGGAGGCGCTTTCGCACTGACATTCCTTCTATGGATTGCTATTGGACCTTGCATGATTGGCTCTCAGCTCAGTATGACACCTACTAAGCTCAAATGTTTATATGTTTCCTAATTATATGGCTTCGCAGGCACTGGAAGAATGCTTTGGGCTTTTGCTCGTGACGATGGCCTTCCGTTCTCTAAGGTGTAAGTAGAGCAACAACTACAGCCTGCTGGATAAGACACTGACTATCTCAGCTGGGCCCATGTCAACCCTCGATTCGGGGTCCCCGTGAATGCACAAATGTGTGTGGCAGTGATTGTAAGCCTTCTGGGTTGTATCTATCTGGGATCTACCACTGCCTTCAACTCCATGCTTAGCTCTGCAACGTACGTTGTTATTGTCCTCCTCGGACACTTCGAGATAACACATGCGGGCTAACATATACCTCAGGACTATTAACAATCTCGCATATCTTGTGCCCATCTTCACTAATGTCGTGCTGAATCGCCGCACGATGCATCACGGCCCTTTTCGCCTACCGCATATTGCAGGCATGGCTGTCAACGTTGTTACTGTTATTTGGCTCGTCTTTGCCATTGTCTTCTTCAGTTTTCCGTTTTATATGCCCGTGACCGGTACGTCGGTTTTCACTTACTTTTCTTTCGTCTCCTGTCCCTCATATACAAGATCTTATTTAATGTGAATTACGTTTGACACGGAGAATACTAACATACCTACAGCCTCAAACATGAACTACACATGCGTTTGTGTTGGCGGATTCATCATCATCGAGCTCCTGTGGTGGCTGATCGCTGGCAAACGGTACTCGAAGACTATGCAAAAGGCAAGGGAGGAGAGTAATAACGTGATGGTTAGGGTGGATAGCAAGAACCTGTGATGAAGACAATACTCGTGCTAGTTCTTTACGTGTTGCTTTTCTTCTTCGGCCTTGGAGTTCGCTGCGGCTGGTCCTTCTTCTCTCTCTTTTTTTTCTTTTTATTCCTTTGCTCTTAACGAGGGAGCTGCGACGATAATGACGGTGGAATCATGCTTACAAAGACTGGCAACAGTAATCGTCAAGTAATAGAATGAAACGAATGAAACCGAAGCGACATTGCTTTATAAGCATGCAATGATGGAAGAACGTATCTGTATAAGTGGTGGAGCATGGCATCTAGCCATGCTAAAGTACAAGTATTATTGTTTCCCCAGAGGCCCATTCACTCCGGGTAATATATAGATAGGCGTAACATCATGATTCTGTTAGTACAGTCGACGTGCAATTAGCATATGCGGCCAAATAGAAAGTCTTTCACGACCGGCGAGCTAGAAAATTCAGGATTAAGAAGAACACAGCTGGTGAGAACGGCGTGTCAGCCTGAAACAATGCGATACGAGTACGTAGTATGCAATGAACTTACTTCAAGAAGTATTCCAGCCCGACCCGTCGAGATTCGAGGAATGCTGGGCGGAATTTGACTAGAGCACTCGTGTTAGCGAAGCCGAGATATGCGGCGGTAAACGTGTAGGCGAGACATACAGAGAATACTCTTCGGTGGTAGAGCTGGTAGGGCGTTCTTCGCGTGCGGAAATGAGGATACCAGCTTTTGTCTCAAGTCATCGAATTCAGAATACCTGGATTATGAGACATTAGCGGCAGATCCTGGTGAAGGCTTGGATGACCATGCTTCATACCTCATCCGAACGTTTATGGGACCACCCTACAATAGCCGTTAGAACCAGAATATCCTTACGAAGGCCACGAGATGCGATAGACGAGAAGGAAATGCGCACCTCAAGGGTTTGTATGGTGCAGCTCCACACCACATATGCGCCTATACCGGACTTCCCCTGGACGACAACATGATCATCTACAGATACACTCCTGGCCCATAGTCCGCGGCTCGTCTCCGAATCTGGATCCTCTGTGTGGTCTTCGAGGGTGATGGCGGGCTGTTCGAGAGAGATCTGAGAGGTACGGGATGCATTCCGGTGGTGACTCCAGTACGGCGGAACTATGCCGGAGACCGGGCGATCTTTGGGGGCACCATTGCGAACGTGCGGGAAGACGGCGCCATTGCCAACGCTGACACCGTTGGCAAGGGAGGTCGTCACGAGCGCATCAGTGTCTGAGACCCTGGAGGTTGCTGTCGAGGGATGCAGTGGAGGGGATGGCAGCGGCTGCGGGCGAGGCACCAGGCTCGTCTCCTCATTCGCTCGCTCCATCCATTTAGATATCTAGCAGGACGAACAATGAATGGAAAATTGACCGTCGCGGAACGTTCTAAATATAAGTCGGGAATGCAACCTCACGGCCAGTGGCGGAGGCAAGTCAAGCAAGGATGCCGCCTGATAACAAGTAACGTGGTTCTACTACAACCCGAATCTGACTAGCGAAGTTTGCTGGCGCCGCAGAGGCCTGTGTGTTTCGGTCGGAGTTTTGTAGAGTGCGGGGGGGGGGGGGATTTGAACAGACGTTGGAAGTGGTTCACAAGTCAGTGGCTGATAAGATCTGAGGGGGTTTCTGATGTCCTTCTTTTTCCTTTCTTTCTGTTTCCCTGGCGGAATGTTTGTTCATGTGTTCTCAAAAATGGGCCCATCGACAGAGGGAGTTAAAACCAGACTAATTCAGTTCCATTCAAGTTCCCATTGAGTTACGGCTCGGAAATCACGAGACTGGGCCGAGTCCCCACTTCTTTTTGGTCGTTTTGTCTGAAGCAAACTCAAGTCATGTGGCTATCCTGCCAAAAGGGGTATTTAGCTTCAGACGTCCTGTTGTCGAAACTGCTAGGGATGTGTCACTCCACTCGGAGAGGCCTACATTCTTATGGTCTGTATTTATGTGGGCCGTTAATACCAATATTGTCAATAGATATGCAACAGAACATTTTTCATTTTTATTTTTTTTGTCATTATTCATGAGGCAGCATTCTGATCAAATTGAAATCTCTCGTGATCCTCGCCTCACGAGATCCATAGTTAATATATCTTCGCTCCGTCGCATTATTCCATCCTTTCCCCAACAGTCTCTCCCTCCCCATACACTAAACAAAGTGACTAGACCCTGAAAGGTAGTGACAGACTGAACTACTGTATTCTACGTCCCTCAAGCCACGCTAAAGCAAAGCCAAGCATCGTGTGGCCCAATCACTTCGTTTGAACCTCGGGTAATCAACAACTTTTCACCTGAGACATTTCAACCTCCCATCCAAGGAAACTCCTCCAGACAACTCGGTATTTGCAGCGTCACTGAACGGCTCCGGCGCATTCCAGGCCGTTCTAGCACCATATGCGTGGTTTATTTTTTTTTTATTTTTTCCCCCCCGGTATCGTGGAGAGGTCAAAGTTCAAGACAAGTCTGTGACGTCCAAAGATAGCCACCTATCAACGAGGTGGGGAACAATCATTATCATGCGCAGAGGTTGGACAGTTCTGCAATCAGGGTCTGTCGGTCTGCATTACCGCTATTCTAGAAACATTACCTATGAAGGTCTCCCTGCCCAGTACCCTACCGGTAGCACTAGTAGGCTAGTACGGACCCTAGTACCGTACCGTATACGGCACCGTCGGGAAGCTGCCCCGGATCGACAGTGATAGATGTTTTTTTCCCTTCCCTAAATGAAAGAATGTCAGAAAAAGAAGAGACCAGTTCATGATGGCCCATTTTTGAATGCTGGTAGTTTCTCTCAAGGCCTATTAAATTCCCACAGGTGCTCATTCGTGTAATAATCATACCAGCTCTCACCCTGGAAGCAGTTCAACACCCTCGATTCAACATGGGATAACAAGTGGGCTAAATTACTAGGAGGCATACAAGGAGCTCTCCACCAGGTGGCCAGACAAAGATTTGAAGACTGATAGCGCCGCCACCCCAACCTCGTTTCGGATGGCGGGAAACTTACTAGTAGAGTAGGACGTGGAGCACGGCGTCGTCGTACATGCTGTATATATCGGGCCATTGAAATCATTCACCTTCGTTCCTTTCTTTTTTCCTTCCCCCCTCCATCTTCCTCCACCTGTCTTTTTTCACGTCTTTGTTAATCTTTCACCTAATTTGAACATCTTCATCTGGATACAATCGATTCATTACTGAAAGATCTCTGTTCTTGTTTTCTCCTCCTACCTTCCTGGTAAGTCCTGTCCAAATGATGCTCCCCATGTACAACTACAAGCTCACCATTAAATCCATGATAGCTTTTACAGTCATTCGTTAAGCTTCATTATCTTACGAACGTATCGCAATGGTTCTCCTTAGTTCCTTGGCCGTCGTTGCCACTGTAGCCAGTCTCGCTACAAGCCAGACCACTAGCGCTATCGACCCAAGTAGTGTTTTGGAATCGACAAGAAGTGAGTTTTCCACGAGCTGGTAATCTCAAAAGGAGCCGTTCTGACTTTCGATCCTGATAGAGCAATGGTGCGAATCACAAACCTCGGCTTGTCCTCTCATCTGCCTGCAACTGCCCGGGGCCTCGGGCAACCCCAAAGAGAACAAATGCGACTACGTGAGTTATAGATATAATTCATCGTGACCTGAAGAGACACTCTAACGTGCTGCCTCTGGCTATGAAACAGAAATCCCTTGTATACTCGTGTATCTGCAGCAACAACCAGTCTCCCAACGCATCTGAATACTCCCAGACAATCCCCTACTTTGTTTGCACTGAGCAAAACAACCAATGCGTTAACAACTGCGAGGGTGAACAACAGTGCCAGTCTGACTGCCGCTCTAAGAACCCTTGTGGCGCTCAAGACCCCAAGCGTGTCAATACTACCACTTCTGCGACTACCAAGACTGCTCAAGCGACTACTTCGTTGCCTCCTTTCACTGGCGTCCCGGATAAAAACGGGGTTGCCTCCAGGCCATCGGCAGATCTGAACCACATCTACGGCCTGGCCGTCGTGATGGCTGGGTTCTTTGCCGGCTTTGCGACCCTGCTCTGAGAATAGCCTTGACTAAATGACATTGCACGTTGGATGGACAGCTGAACATTTCTGGGAGCAATGGGTCATCGGCAAAACAGCATGACTAAATCCTTTGGCATCACTAATACATTTTATCTCCAGTCATAGCGTGCGATGTCTCTGCATAATTGTTCGCTTGCATGAAGTTCTTTTTTTTATCATTTTTATTATGAGCGTTGCGTGTATGTATGTCTTGATGATACTTCTCTCTAATAACCATAATCATGACTTGTTATTTAAAGCTTGAAAAAAAAAAAAAAACAAAAAACTCTTGGAAAGCGTTGACTTGTGATAATTTTGAGGACCCAAACACGAAGTCACATTATCTCCCTCCAGTTCGGTTTCTAGCCGTCTACCACCAAGCATACTGCCCACTGCCATAAATATGCCATAGGACTCTCAGTAGAATTACTGGGTATGGGCTTCTATATCAGGCATAGGAGATGAACTATCACCGAAATTCACGTAGCACGAGCGAATGCTAGGCGCATTCACTTGACAGAAACCGACGAAACGTCAGTATTGATTATGTGGCTTAACACATCCGGCAGGGCCCCGTGGTTTCCTATTTGGTCGTTGCGTCTACACTTGCCTTGCTTCATGATCGGCTTCATCTACTCCTTCTCTCCACACCAGCGCTTTCTTGTTGCAATCTTCTCTCTATCTCCTCTGATCGCTCACTTGTTTTGGTCTCTTTGGCCACTGTTACCTTCACCAACTTCGCGACGACACTACTTGGTGTTCAGAGTCATCTTGCTTGATCTCCATACCATGGCACGCGACGGTGGGGTAAGGCCCTTGAGCGCTAGACACATCATATATAGGGAGGCCATCCCATACTCACATAGTAAACATAGGAATGGCGGCGCTGCCATGTTTGCTGGGAACGTGGGCATATTTCACTGGATTGTCCGGTCCGTCAAGGCCTACTCCATCTGGTATGTAAAGGGCAAGGTACACTAGAAGATGAGACAAGTTTCTCATGTTTCATAGGCGAATATGGCTGCTGAGCTGAACGACCGGATACGCCGACCTGTGCCGGTTCGAGTATATCGAGTGAGTACTCATCGCCGTCGTTGTCGCCCCCGCCGGAGGCGTGGGCGACAGCCTCGAGAGCATGCCAGTGAAAGAAACCACACAGTATGTATTCGCTCAAGGCACACAGTTCAAAAGCACGAGGTATGGTTAACTCTTTGTTGATAGGGACCACATGAACTACCCCTTCGCCCGGCACATGGTAGCCCGGAGCTCAACTACGGAGATTGTGGCCCTTACCGTCGTGATGTCCAGGACCGTCCTCTTCGTCCAGCTGCGGGTGATAAAGAGAATATTCGCCCTGCTCCTCTCGCTAACCCAGCTCACTTGCAGACAGGCGTCGCCTATGACAGGTAGGTCAGACTATGTGTAGTGAAACAGGCATATCGCTAACAAAAGTTGAAGACACGATGTCAGCATGAGGTTCGATTCTTCTATTGCTACCCCGGGATAGACCCTTCAACATGCTGACACTACCTGATTAATTCATCTAGACCTGTCGCTAGTACCAAGATGGAGTCAGGTAATCTAGTCGAACATGTAGATAACCCTGCCTCCGTATATGTTCAGGGGAGCGGGTAAGTAGCCTCCGATTCTCTCGCCATCTCAGTTAAAATACTGATAAATCAGAGCTGTGGACGTCCAAACCACGCGCAGGTAAGGTGTTATACCTGAATTGGATTGACCGATACTGACAAATCATGATTAGTGATACACTTGCTACTTCGAATGAGCGCAGGTAGGAAACCTGAGCCAGTTGTCATAACTGTTTCACTGACACATATACTCCAAGTACTCATGAGAATCTTCCGAGCTTGTCATTCAACGTCTCCGGTGATATTGTGATGACTGGGGAGTCACAAGCTGTAGTGGACGACTACTGCAGCGAGCTGTTTACGATTGTTTGAACGTAACTTAGTCAGACAAGTCTAGCTCTAAGAAGATACATCGATGCCCATTGTCATGAATCAGGATCTTCACACTGAGGATATTCAAACACTCGAGTAAAGGAATGTGTGTATATTTCTTTCTTTCTGACTAGGTTGGCTATTGACTGACACAGCTAGCTTTTGAACATGTTGCGGATTTACTTGGTCGATGCCGAGCAGCTCACGTAACATTCGCAGGGGTCAAGATCAACCAAACACGGGATTCTAATTTTTTTTAGAAAAAAAGAGAAAGGAAAGGAAAAGAGGAAGGAAGATGCAGAGAAGAGATCTTGTATCCGACTGTCTGTATCTTACTCAGGCTTGAATTCAATTGCCTTCATCTTCCCTTGCAGAGTTGGGGTGATGAAGCCCAGTATGTCGCACTCATGAAGAAGCCTGAGTTGCAATGGATTGTTAGGGAAGGGAGTGGTTCCTGTATAGATTAACTACCATGTCTTCAAATGCTTCAAACACCCTGCAGGATAGGGTGAGATACTAATCATGTCATGTCATGTTCCCTGTAGTTAGTTAACTTTACTAGACATAAGACGACAAAGGCGGTCGTGGAGGCGGTGAAGACGTAGGCGGAGATAAGTGCGATGTTGATATGATGATGACCGACCATCTGATAGATCATTGTTCTCTTTCTCCACATCCGTCACATACACCCGCTACTGTGATTTCGACTCTGCTAGTGCTTTTGGGATAGTTATCTCCTCCCTGCCCAAAGCTTCAGCCATCAGTCGATTCCATATTCTCTACGGCGACCTCCACTAACACTGCCCGGGTAACCAAGAGTTACTCCACTTCGACGTGCGGTATATCGCTCATTCGCTCCGTGCGTGACCTGTCGAGGCTTCAACTGTTCTCGTATCGACACAAGAGAACTTTGGGGAGCTAAACAGTTGCTTAATACCGCTCATTTATTGCAGGCTCGAGGTGTACGCACATTTTAGCCAAATGGAATCCATGCCGCCTGATGCTTTCGACTCTCATCCGACAAGTCCATATGCGGGACAATTACAAAGTGCAGGGAACCCCGACCTAGAGAGCATAAACGGAGTACCGGCTACTACGGTACCGTCCGTGAAGGTTGATGGTATGGCTTTATAGTCTGCTTTATCAAACCTATCAGTGTGTGCCTGCAGTGGAAGAGACGCTAATTTTCTGAACAGATCCACCTAAGTTTGAATTGGAATCGTACATTGCAAATTATACTGGTATGATGCTCATTCTCCTACGTCGATATCTAGCTAACTGGTATGCTGCTTCCAGGCCGAACCAAGTTCAACCGTCTATTTCTAATAGGCACGTGCTCCACCTATCTCTCCGCCGAGGCACTGAAGGCTGCGATTGTCGAAGCCAAATCCAGCAAAGATGTTTCCCGATACGAACGCGCAGTCCGTGCACTCGCCGATGCTGCACCGCTTGAGGCTGAAGCTACACCAGACAAGGAGTGGATAGATCGTACACGGAAGGTCGTTAAGGCGGAGACCGATCGACTAGAGCATGAACTGAGAGGGTATAAAAACAACCTTATTAAAGAGAGTATAAGAGTAAGCTTCCTGGCAGCGCTCTATAACACTTCGCTATATATCCTGACCGGGTATCACAGATGGGCAATGAAGACCTCGGACAGCACTACCATCAAATTGGTGACTTGGTGTCGGCTTCGAAGGCATATTCTCGCATGAGAGATTACTGCACGACCCCGAGCCATATCGCCTCAATGTTGTTTAAAATCATAAATGTAGCCATCGAGCGTGGGGACTGGCTGAGCGTCCAGTCTCACGTGCAGCGATTACGCAATCTACAATCGAAACAAGAGGAACAGGCTAAGAACCAGCCGAAGATGTCGGCCGCAATGGGCTTGTCCCAGTTGCACTCTGGCGCGTATCTAGACGCTGCCAATAGCTTCTTGAGCACAGACCCCACTTTAGGCGACTCGTACAATGAAGTGCTCACGTCCAACGACGTTGCCGTTTATGGTGGACTTTGCGCGCTTGCATCCATGGATCGCAATGAACTTCAGCGGCGTGTGCTAGACAATAGTTCGTTCCGCAACTTCCTCGAGCTGGAACCCCATATCCGCCGGGCGATCTCTTTCTTCTGCAATTCCAAATTCCGGCCATGTCTAGATATCCTGGAGTCTTACCAAACCGATTACCTTTTAGACGTCCATTTGCAGCGTCACGTCAGCACTCTCTACACTCGCATCCGAACGAAGTCTATCCAGCAGTATCTGGTTCCTTTCAGCCGGGTCACGCTTGACTCTATGTCCAAAATCTTCGCTCCTGGAGCTCCCAGCGGACAGGATCAACCTATCCACTTAAAGTCCCCGTTTGTTCAAGAATTAATCGGTCTCATTCAAGATGGAACCCTGGACTCCCGGATTGACTTGGAAAAGATGGTCCTGGTATCCAATCAGACCGACCAACGGACAGAAGTGCAGGAAGCCGTGTTGGAGAGTTTATCAAGTTACATTGATGAGGCACATATAAGATTACTGCGGACTAATATTATCCGTGCAGGACTTGAAGTCCGCCCATTAGGCGATGAGCAGCGCAAGCAGGGGCATTCTGGACTCGGGCCGAAGCATTCACGACCGCCGACGGGGGTGTTCCAATGAACGATGAAGTGAGGGATGGTAGTATGGAGATAGCCACCTATGAACAGAATTATGACTAGAGAGGCACGGTAGAAAATCAAATACTTTACGAATTACTGTATTGTTCCAGGATGGAAATGTCTTCTATGCAATTGGTAAACTGAGTTCCGCTTTACTGTGTTGTTTTCTTGTGTCAATCTGGGAATGTGTGGTGTAGATATATGTTTTGGAGCAGATGCGAGAAGGTAAAGGAAAAAACGAAAATGAACATTCTGTAAATAAGAATCTAAACAAACCCCAAAGAATACACTCTACCTCGAGCGTTTGACAAGACAGCCCACAATGCCCGCCAGGAGCAATGCACCATTGAAACCAGCCATGATGTAGAACGGCGCGCCTGAAGACCAAACATCGAAGAGAAGGCCACCTAACTTAGTAAGGAGCAGGATACCTGCGCCACCAAACAAGGAGTACACGCCGGCTATTGATCCTTTCAGGTGGGATAGCTGTTGCTGTCTCTGATGCCTGGGCCTTCCGAGCAGTGGCTGTCGGTCTGCACCGCTCTCTGTTTCGCTGGTTCGAGAAGCACCGTCTTCAGTGTGTGATTCAGTCTCAGCGTCAAATACCTGTTTCGGGGTCTCCTGGGTTAGACTAATACCCAGGATGCCGTTGCTTAATACGGCCAGGCTGCAGACAATCGCCCCGATTTGACTGATACCGATTAAGCTCATGATGGCGAATACACTCGGACTTCCACCTTCTCCGCTGAACTTGGGTGTGGGGAGAAGTGGGAACGTCGTGTATCCGATGACACCGGCCAAGCAAGCAAGGAGGAGAGGCAGATGATGCCGGCGAGACTTATCAGACCAGTACCCGAACCCTGGTGCAGCGATCAAGGCTACGAGCTGGGAGACGCCTGTCAGGATCGATGCCAACTTGTACGCATCAGGGCAAGAATGCTTGATATCCTCGGACCCTTCGTTGTGACCACCATTGCAGACGCCCAGAACTCGATAATAGTGGTTGACAAAGAGGGGGATGAACAGAGAGATCCCCACAGATGAGGCGCGTGCTACAAACCCTCCGATGTAGCCTATGAGGAGGTCACTGTGGCGACATCCTAGAACTATAGCCGCGCCAAATTGGTCCAGATACGGGAGGCATGATTTGCTGCCAGCAGTGCATGTTGCCTCATCGTCATCCTCCTCTTGGGTCGACCAGAGTGAGCTCCATGTCTTTTCCTCTTCGCCGGGAAGATCCCGGAGGCCGAATAGACACCATATGCTGACCAGGAGAGCCACTACAGCGACTACATAGTAGCTGCACTGGATGGATTCTGATGGCGATAAGCCGAGTGTCTGGAATTTGGCGGGAAGTGGGAGGAATATAACAAGAGATACAAGGGCGCCGCAGCCAGCGCACATTCCTACGAATCCAGCCAATCGAGAGGAAGGCGTACTCGCGTCGCCGTTCGATTGGGCTTGAGATGCTGTTTCATGGTTGGAACCGTTCTGCGTGTCTGCTGTCTCGGTGGATTCTTGGTCGTCGGAGCTCCCCGTCACAGTTGGAAGAACTGCCGTCACCATGGTCGAGACCGCAGAGCCGCCAATGCTAAATAACAAGCGTCCCAGAAGAAGTTGCGGGTAAACATTCTTAGCCTGGACGAATACAACCAATGCGACGGCTATGATGCTATAGCCAGCCACACATACCTATAAGGGAAAAAAAATGAGGCTTCAAGTCATAACTACATCAGGAGTGAACGGAAGCGTACATGGCGGACACCTATGCGGTCCGAAAGCACCCCCCACAGCGGGCAAGCGACCAGCGCAAGTAATTCATCTGCAAATCCGAGGGTTCCGACGGCATCTCCTTCGCCATCGTGTAGTCCAATCAATTCTGTGACCACAAACGAGATGGAGGAGTTGATATAGACTAGAAAGGCAATTGAAAACGGACAGACGGCTAGCAAGTAGGTCAAGGTCTGCGTGCGGCTCGCCGTAAATAGAGCTCGTTGGGAAGCCATGTCTCTTCTCCGATCAATTCAGGTCATATTCTGATTCGGGGTTGGAGGAATTAGCCTAAGTATACGCTTAGATTATATGGTCTTAAGGGAAGCCGATCTTGGCAGATGGAGGGAAAACGTCAGCTGTGGACTTAAAAAGAGATACATCCAACATCACCTGACTGCGCGTCGAAGTTGAGCGCCGATCGAACTGAGTCTGCTTCGACATTTTTTTTTTTTGTTTTTAGATTTCCTACATCGCTGGAACTTTATTTTCTTTATCTGATTTCGATCTCGACCCCAATCTGCATTAATGCATCATATCTCCTCCTCGTTATGCTCCGTATTTGAACTGTGGTATAGTGTTCCTGTTTAGGAATAGCGTGTGTTTTCCACCGCTGTGCGTGTTCTATGCCGACGTAGGGTGTGGAAATATCCAAAGGCAGCGAGCCCGACAAATATTCTTCTCTCGGATGACAGTAGCATCGAAGCAATCTTGGATTGGGAATCGGCCTGGATTTTACCCCAAGTTTTGGATTCCCCTGAAGCCGTATCGGAGTGGAGGATTCAAACCTTGATATTGCAGATGATTCCCGCCACGATTGGACGGATCGTTTTGGATCAAAACTCTCTGACGTGGGGGTTACGCTGGATAATAGCCATGTGGAATGGCAGAAGTCTTTTGATTCTTACTTTCTTTGATGTCAATGAGCTTCGTGAAGCTACTTCGTGAGGTCCTTCGGCATGACACATCTCAATATAAACATCAGCAGGGGATGTATACGATCATACCCGACTCCGAACATTGACCTTCCCCGGTCAATTATACTCCGCAGAGTTGGCCAGATATAAGGCGAGGAAATCCGAATGGACTTCTTGGTCGTAACTTGTCCCTGTTTGGTTTCACAGAAAATAACTAGATCCGATCTGAAATCAGTCCCGAAGCCATACCCAGGCTCCCGGTGCATCATAGTAGTAGTATCTATACTCCATGTCCAGACTAAACTCAAAGGAGACAAGAACCGGAACACCCGCGCTGACGTAAGGCCACGGCGGGCGGTGACGGGTCCCCCCATTGCTTAGACAAAGTAAAGTATAGCATAGCTGTCCAGAACATCTCCAATTCCCGCCCACGCGATCGCTGGCCTGAATCTTCAATCTTCTTCCCTTTCCTCTCCTCCTGTTGCGTTGATCCTGTTTATCCGCTATCGATGTCCCTCTGACAAACTTATTGGCTTCTACTTTCGGCTTTCTGTCCAGGACATCGGGCTTCTCGCCCGCCTCTGCTGCCATGAGGCTTGCCGCATATACTGGGGTAAGTGGCACGCATGGTTCGGTTCGCATTTAATGGAAAACTGACCCTGCCTCACTCTACAGGTCTCAGTGGCCCTAGCCACAGGTGTCTTTCTAAAGGCGCTTCATCAGAGGGCGAACTTCTACTCGGCCTGCGTTTACCTTTCTCAAAGCAGTGCCAATCTTATGGTAGGTCGCCGCCGCGTGCGCTCTTCTAATGATCTCTGCGCCTACAGACTACTTGAGAGGATATCGTCTAACGGATGCAGATCCTGACAAATGTCTGTCTGTTGGCAGTCGGCTTCCTTCTTTTTTGGCTTCAGCGTCTCCTGTACGGCCCTTTGCGACCCATCGAAACCGAACAGTTGTATGAAAAGGCATGGTTCGCCGTTACGGAAACCTGTCTGGCCATGACCATATTCCGGGGGGAGCTGGGGGGCTGGTTTTTGGTCATGTTCGTCTGTCTACTTGTCGGAAAGGTTTGGGGCTGGATTGGCGAAGGCCGCGTGGAATACCTGGAACAGCAACCCCGGCCAACCCTCGTCTGTTCCATACTCGCCTGGCGACTTCACTGCTCCTCGCGGTTCTGTTCAATTCTTTCATGCTAAAGTATTGTGTTCGGACGGTCCTTGAGCAAGCACGCCCTGACATGATGGTCATGTTCGGCTTCGAGTTCGCCATCCTCACCATCCTATCGAGTTCGACCGCCGCCAGGTACTCAATTTCTCTGGTAGAGATCTATGTTACTCATCAACAGCTGAAGGCCAGGGTGGAGGAGCGTCGTCAGGAGATTCGAGCTGAGAGACAGGAGGCTATTCGTCGGAGTGCGCAGGCAGGAGAACTCTCTCCTCCCACTAACTTACCCGATGAAAACGACATCAATGAGATGGAACTTGATGTCCCAGGATGGGAGGAAAAAGGCCGCTGGGTTTTCTATCTCGATCTGCTTACGGATTTCTTGAAGCTGACCGTGTATCTCTCGTTCTTTGCCATCCTCTTCACGTTCTACGGGCTGCCGATTCATATCCTGCGCGACGTAGTGGTGACGATTCGTTCCTTCGGTCGAAGAATCATGGATTTCCTTCGCTACCGCAATGCTACTCGTGATATGAACGAGCGGTATCCAGATGCGACCGCGGAGGAAATCGCACGGGAAGAAGTCTGCATTATTTGCCGGGAGGAGATGGCACAGTGGCAGCAACCCGCGGACGGAGTTGGGCCAACAAGAGGACGGGTTTCCGAGAGACTCCGCCCGAAGAAGCTCCCTTGCGGTCACATCTTGCATTTCGCCTGCCTTCGCAGCTGGCTGGAAAGACAGCAAAACTGTCCAACCTGTCGACGCCCAGTTGTCGCGCCGCCTCGTCACCGCGGCCAGCCAGGGGCGGGGGTAAATGACGGACAAGGCAACGGGGGTGCTGGGGGCCTACAAGGTGGCCCTGCTGGGAATCAGCCTCCCGGGAGAAATGCAGCTGCTGATGGCTTACCAAGAGCTCGTGTATACCAATTTGGGCCCTTCCGGATTGGGTTCGGCGCGGGCCGAGGAGACATGTTCCACAATCTTCATCAGCAAATTCACCAAGGCAATGCTCCCTTGCAGCCAGCAAATAATGGCAACCCTGGCGCGAGACAGATCGGGTTTGGTTTTGGCTTCGGACGTCCACCACCACCACCACCTACCGTCCACCCTTCGCCGGCCCCAGCGCCCGTCTCTGATATGCAAAGCCACCTTTCCCAACTGGAACAGCAGATTATGCAGGAGATTAACAATCTCCGGATCACTGCGGATCAACTCCACCTGGTCCGCTTGTTACAGACCGAACTTCAGCGGCTTCGGAGTCTCCAGAATCCCCAGGCAAATCCCCTCGATTTGCCGAACATTTTATCGCAGAACCCTACCATTCCTTCGCCATCTACAATAACAACGACTCGCCGACAATTTGTATCGGACCTGAGAGCACCGGCCATGACGGCTGGCGATACACGACTACCGGAAGGACTTAGCCTTCCTCCGGGCTGGTCCCTTCTTCCCCTCCACTCAGCGGAACAGGGCTCGAGTGGGGCGGTAAGCGTGACGCCCACACCAACTGTTCCTGTGGCAGCTCCGCCAGTACAGACGCCTGACGGCAGTTCCGAGTCCCAGACGCCCGCGTTGGCAGAGAACAGTGTGAATGAAAGCCAGGATGAGCAGGGTCCTAGCCAGGTGGATTCGGGTTCTCGTACCCTGCCTGGTTGGGGTTCAGCAATGGCGCCAACCACTGCTGCGACGGACGATGCTGAGCCAGCGTCGGAGCAATGGACAGAAGTGACAACTGAGAGACAACCTGAGAAGTCCAGCTCTCTATCCGTTGGACATGGTGAGGGTGTCCATCATAGTGAGGATGGTGTGGTAGAAGACAGCTCATCGTCATCACCATCGAAGGGCAAAGCACGGGTGGCAACGGTAGAGGACGTCGGGGATGATGAGACATGACATGGGATTCCCTTCTAGAGTTTTTCGTTTTCTTTTCTTTTCTTTTTTTTTCTTTCTGTATACTTTGCAAGTACTGTACTCCCCACTATCCATTTGCCCGATGCATTTGTCTTATCAAATTTGGGAAACAAGCGTTCAACGGCGTTCTTAGCGAGGCAGAAAGATCATACCCGGGTTGTCTGTGTATTCGAAGTTCTAGGCGATGGGACTCATGCCTGGTGATTCCCCCCTTTTGTCATGTTGGAATCCATTTAGCATAGCCATCTGATCGAGATTGTGGAGGAGATCTGTTTCCTCTGTCGGGTGGACGGATGTCTCTACATGCATGTACTCGTCTGTACATAGTCGTGGCAGCAATTGACCTCGCCCGATCCTCCTTTTCTATATGCGATGCAATCAAGGTGTATATGTATATCATCTGACATCGATGGGATGTTCTGGTGACAAGTTTCTAAGATTAGATGGATATTACGAATTCTGAATAGATTATAGTTTGATATACCATTTAAATCGACTTGCAGAATAAGAATAGCAACCAATCACATTCCGATGCCGACATTCTGTAACGCATCTTATCTGTCAACGTCTTGTTGTACAATTCACGGTGGGGCTCCCAGAAAAGACAAAAAAAGAAGAACCGTTGCAGGGTCGGTCGGATTAAATTAAAGTTGAAATGTGTTACGCGCTTACTCTCCAGGGGGAAACATGGTCATTGGTCCTGCGTTCATGTAACCACAGTCGCGGATCGGCTTCATCACCGCTGACGACAACATCTCCGCCTTCCGTCCCCCCAGTCTTCCCCGTCCGCTGCTTACTCTTGAGATTAGTACTAGTACTTGAACATACCACTGCTGATGCCCTCGGCCGGATGAATATCTTTATCGGAGCGGAGCTCCTTTCCTTTGTTTCACTTTAGTTCCCTCTTGCTGCGTGGCTGTGGCTTGGCTTCTTTCCCTTTTCTTCTTGGCCCCTGACGCCGCGAGACATACAAATAACAGAATTACTCTCGCGGACGGATCCATTCACCGTTCCATGAAGCGTCACTTCCTCAGCTGATTGTGAGTTCTCTCGGCCTGGGATTTCCCAAAGGCGCCCGCAATCGCTTGCCCAGGTCTTTCTCGCACAGGAGCCTTTGCGGATGAAGTGGTCGGTTCATTTTTGCAAGACAGCCTGCCCTGCTGAACGCCGATTCTAACTGTCTTTCCCATGAATTGCTGTAGCAAACTACTATTTAGTCTTCCGACTGGCGTATCTCTTCACAACCGCATCTCATGATTTTCTCACGGCGCGCGATTCCGCTCCTCGGTCTCGCCTTCTTTATCGTCTTCCTATACACGGTCAGCAGTCTTTCCCGGCAATGGCGGAATATGCCACAGGTTGTTGGCCTGGGCGACCTGGTTGGGACCCCGTATCCAACGGCGTCGGGCTATGTAAACGTTTCCGGGGTGGTTGATAAGCCGTCGAGAGAGCCTTACGCGCCTCGGCCCCATTATGTGCCTGGTGTTCCTAAACCTCCCGGGTCAACATATACTAAGGCCTTGGTGGTGCCCCAAGCTGGTCTTGAAGACACAGAATGGATTCAATTTGAAATTCCCGAGTGGCAGCCTGCCGTCTACGTGGTTGACGATCCCTCGGCGCCTTTGCACCCTCCCAAGAACAAGGGCCATGAGGTTATAGTGTATCTGAGCTATATTATTGACCACTACGATAAACTACCCGACATTATTGCCTTCATGCACTCACATCAGTTCGCTTGGCATAATGACGAAATCTTCAACGGTAATGCCGCCGAGATGCTGCAACGTCTAAACCCCGCGCGGGTGGTCCGAGAAGGGTTCATGAACTTGCGTTGTACATGGGCACCTGGCTGTCCTGATTGGCTACATCCAGGCACATTGGAAGCAGACGAACAGAAGCAAGAAGAAACCATGCTGGCCAGGTCGTGGGGCGAAATCTTCCCGGATGACCCAATTCCCGATGTCCTCGCACAGCCATGCTGTGCCCAATTTGTCGTTTCGCGCGAGCGCATTCTCGCTATCCCGAAAGCGCGCTTCGTTTACTATCGTGACTGGATTCTTCGAACGGAACTGAGTGACTATATCTCTGGCCGAATCTGGGAATATCTGTGGCATGTCGTGTTTACGGGTCAAAATGTCGTCTGTCCCAAGGAGCACGTCTGTTATTGCGATGGCTACGGAATTTGCTTTGGCGGCGAGGAGGAATACGACAAATTCCGAAAATTACATTCGGAGAAGGGAGAGTTGGAGGAAGACCTCAAGGCCTGGCGCGGAGATGCAGAGGCCATCGAAATCGAGCGAATCGTAGGCACCCTAGGCGAACAAAGCCACGTCTCAGTGCCCGATCCGGGCAGAGATACTGAGCTGGAGCAGCTAATTGTCGAAAAGGAACGGACAATCGAGGAGATGCTACGCAACGCCACAAAGCGCGGAGAGGACCCAAGAGCGAGAGCGTTAGAGGCAGGCAGACTATGGAGGGAAGGAGATGGGTTCTAAACGGCTCACGACTGCACCAAATACTCATAACTTACGGCCTCGCTTACCGGTGAATGGTCTTACGCAGGCTTATGAAGACTTTGGACATTGCCTCGGTCCCGGTGGTCTTTTAATTTCCCCATACATGATATACACTCACGCTCACGCCCACGCCCGCAGCCATAGACTTACCTTCTTGTTTATATTTCTGCATTATGGTTTCGAGACCGTGTGGCTTTCGTGCCCTCCTCAATGCTGCTTAGTTTTACCCTTCGTTCGAAATATTTGGGATTGGACACTTAGATTGTTTGAGGCTTAAGTGATCTATATTGTTGCCATTTGTCCCAAAAAATGTGCTGATACCTACTCCAATTGCAGTTTGGCTGGTTCCAAATGGATATGGATATGAGCAGAGAAAATCCACATTATTTTTTTCTATTTTTACACTTTGTCACTTAGATTACTTTTCTTTTCTTTTCTTTTCTTTTCTTTTTTTTTTGGAATGCCCATTCCCCAGGAATCAATTGACACATTCCATCATCACGTAGTAAGTAACCAGAGTAACCCATGGTTGTGGTCACGTGATATATCCGGCGGTTGACGACTTTACAAGAGTTTGCACTGTCTGCCCATCCTTCAAACCGCGCAAACAACGTCATCTAGGCCGAAGCAAGCGATCTGATTGATTAACTTATCGCGAATCGCGCGAACTCATTCGGATAGACGTACTGGAGTGTTCTGCCTCCGTATCTTCGTCTGTCTTCTTGGACGACGAGATTTGGCTTTGCGCCCGCTTCACGGAAGCTCCGGGCTCATTGGCGAGTCTTGTTTTTCTTGCGTGCCAAGGGACTGCGCGCAGTTCTTCGCTGAGCGTATTCATTTCAACCGGTCTATGCCACTTACTTCTAGGTAGCTATTGCCTTTAGGTGCTGACAAGGACGGTTGAATGTTTCAAGCGACAGGCCTTTAGTTCTAGTGCGGTTCTATTTGAGCGCCAAAAACAAAATCCTCCGCACCAGCCCACCGCCATCCTTCGCGCGTCGCGTGGTTATAGTGATTTAAATTGATACCAGTTCTCACGCTCTCCAGACTCGATTTTCTTCTCAACTCCTCCTCTGGTACGTAGACAAGACCTTCATTGTGGCTGTCTACGCCAAAATTGCTGTCATGACGTCTTCTGCCTCCCATCACCAACATCCTTCGTCTTCAGTCGCTGAATTTTCTGCTCACCAAACCGCTCCTTCCTCCAACATCGACCCGAACGGTAACATCGCCACGAGTGGCTATGCGCCAAATGAAAGTCAACTTGCTGGGCTGGTAGAGGCTGCTACTGCAGCAGCTGGTCAAGACGTATCGCCGGAATGGGCCGCCGCCGCCGCAGTCGCCGCCGCCGCTGGTGCTGCCGGCCATCAGCATCATCTAGATGGCTACCCCTCGGATATGCATATCGAGGATGATAGCTTTGCAGATGCAGGTTTTGGGACAGGGCTGGGCGCTGGAAGACAGTTACGAGCTCCAGGGCCATCCGCCAACGAACACAGTCAGCCTTCCGGACTGTCAAGAACTGTGTCAAAGAAGAGAAAAAGAGATGGCCCACTTGACCCAGCCTTAACAGCATCCGGACCTGGTGGTCATCAGCAGCAGCCGCATCAGCACAATACGCATCATTATGGTGGTGAAAGTCTAGATATCCGGTCTGCGCCTCCCCAGTCCTTATCGGAAGCGCGCGCGGTTGGTTTACATTCCGCAGCAGCTTTGTTCCGCCAACCCTCGAGCAACAAGAAATACACACGACCACCCATGTCGAGGCTTTTCTCTTCACTGGAACTATCACCAGAAAACTTCCTACATTTACAAGCCGCTGCCAAGCATATATGCTAGATGATAAGCATCCAGAACGACGTGAGTGTGTCGGTCAACGTGGCAAGGGGGACACGGAAATGGTTAAATTGAGACTTTGGAATTGTGTGCGCCACTTTCTCGAAATTGAAGGGCATGGTGAACGCTTTTTCGGTGAAAATGTAGTCAACGAGGGCATGGGCCCCAGGACCTATGTATGGCCGCGGGACCAGCAGAAAATCATTGCACTTGTCATTCCACTGCTGCGGCGTATGGTCACCAACGAACGACAGAGGCAATATGCCGTCGAGACGAGGAAAGGGGGTGGATCAGAGGAACGACGACGAAGGAAAACTGAAGACAGCCTCCAGAATATGAATAGTGCTAGTCCCCCGAAGTTCCCTGTTGAGGAACAACTCCAGATGCATGCACAACATCATCCTCCCGAAGGGTATGCGCCAACCCACCCCGAGTTGGGGGCGACTTCCCAAGACATGGAGCTGGGCCTGACAGATCTTCTTCCCGACAGCTATCCAGCTGACTGGAATGCCATCTCCAAAACGTACGAAACCTACAATCAGAACTACGAGCTCGACAACCTGTGGTATCTCTCAGGCCTACAGCAGCCGGATTGGCGTGGGTTAGTAGCTGCTGTTGACAGCCATTACCAGGTCATTCACAACGGCGGTTTTGATTGCCCTTCACCATGTGAGGATGAGAATATCAACCATATCTTACATGCAAACTCCGTGTCGTGTTTACGGTGGAGGGTTGGTGGGGATCGAAATCAAGTTGCCAGGAATGAGTTGTATGTTGCCATACTCCCATGACCACCTTCCTTGGTATATAACATGAAACTCACTCCTTTATAGTGCCAGCAGTATCACCCGTGACCTTTCTCGCATTATCCGGGATAATATTGCAACGAAGCATGGCGTGCAAACGTCAACCGACGACCACGCGTCCATGCACCCATCAAATTTTCCACCCCTCCCCGCGGGTCTAACTATGCCAAACCCGCCGACAACCTCTCAAGCGCCGATATCTTTGCGAATCAATATCATGCAGAACGGTAAACGTGTCCTTCCGCGGGTAGATCTTCCTGCAGGACACTGTCAGGACCTTGAGACTTTGAAACAGCTACTCTGCCGTCGATTCGCGGGCCAGTTGCCAGGTCTACCTTCTGACCCATCGCTGGACCCTGCAGCCTGGGTGTCTTCAGTTGGCTGGAGATTCAGAGTCTGGTTGCCCGAGGGCTTGACTCCTGTCCAGAATGACGGCGACTGGACGATCGCAATCCTCTCTGCCGGTAACGTAGACTGGATGGACGGTGATCTACGAGTTCTTGTAGAGCTGGAGAGCACCTCTTAGTAGTGTCTCCCATTTGCTGGGTAGCCACAACACCGTATTCTTCTCTTTTCTCCTTCCTATCTAGGGTCGAACAACAGATCTGCCTTCTCACATCCCACGGCCTGTCTTCCCTGGAGGATACGAGCATTAATAATCTTCTCCTATCTTTGTTCTGGGAATTCTTCTCCTTCTACCTCCTTTTACCTTCTCTCTACCTTTTTCTCCTCACTCCGCTTTGCATATAAATATCTCTACCTACTCCTCCTCATTTCGGTGAACGTTGACTCTTTTTTTTTTTCGGTTCATACCCTTTTGATGCCCATTACGGACATGACTTATCAGGATGAGACATGATGTAAGTGTATGCTGGCATTAGTTGCATTTAGGAGGTAGAATAGTGCTTTTTAATCCGACGTGTCTAGTATGATCTGAAGTATAGTCTGAAGGCAATGCGACTTCTGATGTGCCTCAATAAATAATTTTTCAGTAAAAGATGAATTTAAAAGAGCAACCAGAACTTCAGAAGAAATTTTTTTTCTCTTGCTTTTCTACAGATGGAGGTTGGGTGATTGCATCCGCAACCCTTGTACGAGTGAGTACATTTATATTTCTCTTACATGAAGTCTTTCGTCGATAATTACCATTAACCTTTGCTCCTCGAATTAGCATATCTGTTGTTATTGTACAGTACCAGTTTTTAATTTTCATTGTTATTTTTCTCCTTATATTTCGCTAAATATCTTAATTGCTCTAGATATTTTGGGGGTTGGTGATGGTAACCCTCTCCCAACCTTTTGCCCTAACTATAACTAGGAAAGCCTTTATTTACTCAATTCGTACAATAGGGAAGGTGTGATACAATAAAACCATACTGTTCATATTTGGAAGGGCTGATTATGCCGACATCTGCTACCTAAGTATATGTTATAGGATATAGACCGACGTGTTGTGAGATGTGTAACTAGCTCCGCTCATGACTGGCGGTTACTAGCTGCTGGCTGACCCAGACAGCGGGTCTCACAGTTTTAGAATACCAGTGGAGTGGTCACTGTTTAAGAAAACAGGTTCCAACGCTGAGTAGCGTTTACCAGTTCTTTCTGTACTGTGTGTGATGCATTCGATAGGCTGTTCACAACCTAGAATGCAGTTTATATTGCTCCGTACCCTTGTGACCATGGCGGTACACCATCTCAAAGACCACAATGGCACATTTCGGAGGAAGCTTCGAGCCATCGCCTTTGAGCTCATGAGTGAGCTAAAAAATGGGTAGTAGCACTGGGAGCCCCGCCGATCTATTGCATGAATACAAGCCTTGTGAATATTGGTGAGTGCTTGCTTTAGCTATTGGCGGGCGTTGTCGCACTGTCTTCGTCATCGACCACTCCCAGCCGAGCTTTCTTAGCTCTGCGCTTCATCTCCCGTTTCGAGAGCGGCTTTTCGGTCTCCACTACAGATGCTTTCCTCTTGAGAGTGTCGCTGTTGCTCTCGGATTGAGGGGTGTCGTTTTGCTTGGACGCTGCGCCTTTTTGTTTAGACGCAGACTTGTCGGTCTTCGGCTTTGGCTTTTCTCCACCGTCAATGACATCAATAATTCCACGCCAGCTCGTGCGCTTCAACTTCGCCAGCGCAACCGTTTTTCTCGCCTCCTCGCAAATAGCCTCCTTGCCGCGCTCTTGTGACAGGCCCCAGACGCATGCCAGATTAATCACATCCCATGGTGCCCGGACACCCAGAGCCTTCCTGGCCTCACTGGAGATAATGATTCCTCTTCCGCGTGTTGCGCGGATCAGTGACATAGCATTACCGATGAGGTTGCGCCGGGCGTCGGCGCCGCTCCCCGTGACGCCCGGTCCGTAGCAGATTTCAAAGCGAATTCCTCGTGCGATAGCGGCAGAGAGCATTTTAAACTTGAAGTGGTATGGCTGCCGCACGGAGAGATCTAAGGAAATCACGTCGCATTCCAGATTGGTGCACGCATTCAGCAGGGCCTTTTCATTGGCAGGGCGGATCGCTACTAGATCATACGCCTGGGTGAGGCTGGTAAGTCGCTGGTTTTGCGTGGGGTCGGAGAGTGGTAAGTTCACGCGGGAGAGTAGCGTCAGGCCCTTGGGAACATTGGTGGGAACCGGTGGGGAAGTAGGATTTGAAGGAAGCTTTCCGTTGAGGGTTTGCGAAAGGGCGATCGTCGTGTAACCGACTGGGAGTCAGGTCAGCTTCCTGGCAAGGTGGTCATCTCCAACATTGGTCGTGTGGCCGGGAAAAATGACATACGTTCTGCAAGAAAGCTTAAAGTTGGAGAGATCTCGGGATCGTCTGGGCCGTACGGCACGTTGAGATCGTAAAACATTGTGCCTGTTTAGCTTTAAAAGCTTCAGCCAAGCCGGGCGTTTGGAATCGTCGTCCAAATGGTGTTTCTTTTGGATCCGCTTCTGGTGCGCGAGAAGTATATCTTGGAACCTGTCCGAGAAAGGAAATCAGAAAATCGCCCCGCGTCAATAGCTTCTCCGAACTCCGGTCTAGCCTGATCGATAGCACTGCCACGTGACCCGTGAAAGGCGGAGCGAGACTCTTAGCCCATTCTGATCATCCACCTCTGATATATAGAATAGACTCTCCCTCTGGTTCATCGTTGTTCGGGGCGATAGCACGGCTGCACTGTTTGGACGGGTTTCTTAGCTCCTAGTCTTGCAGCTGTTGTTGTCTGTCCTTCAATTCGGATATTTGGTCGCGACTATTCCCTCACCACTACTCCCCTCTACCCCGCCGCATTTTATCTTCGACATCCGATTGTGGGCGGTCTCGAAATCTGCTTGTCAGCCGCCATCACCATGGCGCGCGTTTATGCCGATGTTAACGAGCATATGCCTCGGTCCTACTGGGATTATGACAGTGTAAACATCTCTTGGGGTGTTCTAGAGAACTATGAAGTGGTCCGCAAGATAGGTAAGGCGCAACACCGGGATCTCTCCGCTGTCCCCTGAACCACACCGATATGGTTGTCGCGGGGTTAGGGGGTCGGTGCATGATGATGATGATTCATGTTAACAATCGCTACTATAGGCCGTGGAAAGTACTCGGAGGTCTTTGAGGGCATCAATGTTGTCAACTACCAGAAGTGTGTCATCAAGGTCCTCAAACCAGTCAAGAAGAAGAAGATCAAGCGTGAGATCAAGATTCTTCAAAATCTGGCAGGTGGTCCCAACGTGGTAGCTTTGCTGGATGTGGTCCGCGATAGTCAGAGCAAGACCCCGAGTCTGGTTTTCGAGTATGTGAACAATACCGACTTCCGCACACTCTATCCGCGATTCTCCGACTACGATGTCCGCTACTATATCTATGAGCTCCTCAAGGCGTTGGACTTCTGCCATAGCAAGGGTATCATGCATCGCGATGTGAAGCCTCACAATGTCATGATCGACCATGAGAAGCGCAAGGTGAGTTTTGACGGCTGGATTGATGTATATACATATACTGACCCATCTCTAGCTGCGTCTTATCGATTGGGGTCTTGCCGAATTTTATCACAAGGGCACTGAGTATAACGTCCGTGTTGCCTCTAGATACTTTAAGGGCCCTGAGTTGCTCGTTGACTTCCAGGAATACGACTATTCTCTGGACATGTGGTCACTCGGTGCCATGTTCGCATCTATGATCTTCCGCAAGGAACCTTTCTTCCACGGAAACAGCAACTCGGACCAACTGGTGAAGATCGCCAAGGTCCTCGGTACTGAAGAGCTCTTCGAGTACTTGGATAAATATGAAATTGAACTGGACCCTCAATATGATGAGATTCTTTCCCGTTTCCCCCGCAAGGCCTGGCATACCTTCGTCAACGCCGAGAATCAGCGTTTCGTCTCTGACGAGGCCATTGATTTCCTAGACAAACTTCTCAGATACGATCATGCGGTAAGGCTCACAGATCTCCGTTCCATAACATATCACTGACTGTCGTCTAGGAACGTCTTACCGCACAGGAGGCCATGGCTCACCCTTACTTCGATCCTGTCCGGCCAGAAGTGCAAGCCCAGAACAATAGGGGATTGTAAACATAAACCGCAAGCGCGCACCAGAGCCTTATAGCTATTATACACCGAACCTTCGGGTTTACTGCTTAGCGCCCTCCGCGATTATTTGACAATCTGCTGCTGCTGATAAACATCGATTGGTTTACATTTTGAGTGCCTTGGGTTGAGATAAGGGGATGAGTTTATTACAAGAAAGAACTACAAACGGCGACATAACAGATGGTTGTTGCGTCGCTCTGGACAAGAAAACACTGAGAGCGCCATGGATGCGATGAGTTATGCCATATGGACGGAGACGACGATGATGAAAACAGATGACATACACCTAATACGATGGGCCCCCGAGCCCATCTCAGCTCATTACTCTTGGCGCACCAAGTGAGTGGCTTCATCGATGGTATTTAGAGTGGGATCAACGGATTTTACTGCTTGTGTCTTCTGCACGAGCATGGCTATTTCACAGTCTTGTGCAGTTTCTCCCTTTCCCCCCCTTTTTCCTCGTAACTGTTGGTTGGACTGTTTTCGATGGGGATTTTCATTCTTCGCTACGATTCTTGCATTTTGAACTTTGTCACTTCCACCCTTTGATCATATTTCCCGTGTGCACATCCTTACTTACTGCGTCATTGAAAGGCGTGAGGGTCTACATAGTTTGGTGCTTTATGAACCTGGGCTTTCCTTTTCCTTTCAGGAGACTATTGAATGCATTGTGGAATAGTTCCGTCCCACTTGATATCTTGAGCGCAGAGGTTATATAGATGGCGCGGGCCTGGGAAGAATCCGGGAGCTAGGTCGCCGGAGAACAATAAACAATCCTCGTCTCGATCGGATCTGGACCGAGAGCAGCATTCCTGCCGTAGCAAACGACTGTAGTCGGCCGCCACGCCGTCACTGGACGGTGGCATCACGTGACGTGACTCATGGGCGATGGCATAAAAACGGAGCGATGACAAGGTGGAGAGGAAGCGCCAGTGAAGGAAAAAGAGGTCAATTCCGAGGATCCTTGGGGGACTGATTGAACTGCCCGACCCATGCCTCAGGCTTAATCCTACGACAGTACAACCTCCACTGGAACCAATCGTGCTCCACCGGTGGTGTTTTTTTTGGGCCCCGCACTCTTCTTGCAACCTCTGATTCGTTCCGTTCTTTGCTCTGCGCGCCAGGAAATTTAATTGCCCGCATTCGCACAACGAGCGACCCCTCCCCCTCCTTGTTCTCTATCGCCGTTGGAGTCACCGGTGGTCAAGATACTTATCCGACGATTCGTGGCGCGATCGGCGCCTTGGAGATTCCCTCCTCCTATCTATCGATCATTTTCCAGGATGGCCCAGCCTTCTGCCCCTCAGAATCCCAGTAAGTGCTCTTGACTTGGTTCGCCATGACTCATTGCCAGCGAGCTATGGATTAGAAGCTAACGGGATCGTGTGCCATGACAGCTGGTGAGCCCGCGGCTCCCGTGGTTGACACTCCCCCTCAGGCCGATGCCGCTGCTCCTCCTAAGGTGAAGACCGAGAAAGAATGTATGTTCCTTGTCGTCCACGAGCCTATCGCATAAGCGCGGCGCTTGGGTATGGAAACGACTGACACCGGGTCTGACTGTCTAGTGGAGCGCGAGCGTCGCAAGGCTGAGAAGGCGAAGAAGTTCGCCGAGAAGAAGGCCAAGGCAGCAGCGAAGCCCGCCCCTGCCCCCAAGGCCGAGAAGAAGGAGAAGAAGGTCGAGAAGGACAAGACTACCGATGCGTACGACCCCAAGGTCATCGAAGCCGGCCGTTATGAATGGTGGGAGGAGCGTGATCTGTTCAAGCCCGAATTCGGCTCCGACGGCAAGGTCAGACCCGAGGGCTACTTCGTCATTCCTATCCCTCCTCCTAATGTTACCGGATCTCTCCACATGGGTCACGCCCTCACCAATGCCCTCCAAGATACCATGATTCGTTGGCAGCGTATGAAGGGCAAGACCACCCTGTGGTTGCCCGGTATGGACCACGCCGGTATCTCCACCCAGAGCGTCGTCGAGAAGATGCTTTGGAAGAAGGAGAAGAAGACCCGCCACGATTTGGGTCGCGAGGTGTTTACAGACCGCGTGTGGGAATGGAAGCACGAATATCATGCCAACATCAAGAATGCCTTGCGCAGAGTTGGTGGTTCCTTTGATTGGTCTCGCGAGGCCTTCACCATGGACCCTAACCTGTCCGCTGCCGTCACCGAGACTTTCGTTCGCCTGCACGAAGAGGGCATCATCTACCGTGCCAACCGCCTGGTCAACTGGTGTGTGGCTCTGAACACCTCCCTCTCCAACCTGGAAGTCGAGAACAAGGAGGTTGAAGGACGTACCCTGCTGGATGTGCCCGGCTACGAAAAGAAGGTCGAATTCGGTGTTTTGACTCACTTCTGCTATGAGATTGATGGCACCAAGGAGAGGATTGAGATCGCCACTACTCGTCCCGAGACCATGATTGGTGATACCGGTATCGCCGTTCACCCCGATGACAAGCGCTACCAACACCTGATCGGCAAGTTTGCCAGACACCCCTTCGTGGACCGCTTGCTTCCGATCGTTGCAGACACCGATGTCGATCCCGAATTCGGTACCGGTGCCGTCAAGATCACTCCGGCTCACGATTTCAATGATTTTAACCGTGGAAAGGCCCACAACCTCGAGTTCATCTCTGTGATGAACGATAATGGTACCTTTAACAAGAACGGTGGCATCTTTGCCGGTATGAAGCGTTTCGACGCTCGTTACAAGGTCATCGAGCTTCTGAAGGAGAATGGGCTGTATGTCAAGTGGGAGCACAATCCTATGAAGATCCCTCGCTGTGCCAAGTCCAACGATGTTATTGAGCCCATCCTCAAGCCCCAGTGGTGGATGAAGATGGAAAGCCTTGCCAAGCCTGCCATCGAGGCTGTCGAGAAGGGTGACATTGTCATCAAGCCAGAGTCTGCCGAGAAGAGCTACTTCCGCTGGATGAGGAACATCAACGATTGGTGTCTTTCCAGACAGTTGTGGTGGGGTCACCAGGCTCCTGCTTACTTTGTTAAGATCGAGGGCGAGGAAAATGACGACAGTGATGGCAACCTCTGGGTCACCGGCCGTACCGAGGAGGAGGCTCGCAAGAAGGCCGAGGCCAAGTTCCCTGGCAAGAAGTTCGATTTGGTGAGGGATCCTGACGTGCTTGACACCTGGTTCTCCTCTGGACTGTGGCCCTTCTCTACCCTGGGCTGGCCTAACAAGACTCACGACTTTGAGAACTTGTATCCCACCTCCGTTCTCGAGACTGGTTGGGATATTCTTTTCTTCTGGGTCGCCAGAATGATCATGCTGGGTATCAAGTTGACCGGCCAGGTTCCCTTCAGGGAGGTGTACTGCCATTCTCTGATCCGAGACTCGGAGGGCCGTAAGATGTCCAAGTCTTTGGGCAACGTCATTGACCCCATTGATGTTATGGAGGGTATTCAGCTCCAGACGCTGCATGACAAGCTTCTCCTTGGTAACCTTGCCGAGAAGGAGGTTGCTACCGCTACCAAGTATCAGAAGAAGGCTTTCCCCAAGGGTATCCCCGAATGTGGTGCTGACGCTTTGCGTTTTGCCCTTGTGTCTTACACTACCGGAGGATGTTATGTCCAAGACTTTCCTAGCGAAAGATAATTGTCTAACTGTTTACTAGGTGGTGATATTGCATTTGACATTCAGGTTATCCACGGATACCGTCGCTTCTGTAACAAGATCTACCAGGCCACCAAGTATGTCCTCGGCAAGCTGGGTGATGACTTCAAGCCTCAACCTACCGTTTCAAAGACTGGCCGCGAGTCCCTTTCTGAGCGCTGGATCTTGCACAAGTTCAACGCTGCTGCCAAGGAGATTAACGAGGCTTTGGAGCAGCGTGAGTTTAACGTTGTGGCTACTACCGTGTACCAGTACTGGTACGCCCAGCTCTGCGACGTCTTCATTGAGAACTCGAAGTTCCTCCTTGCTCCTGAAGTGCCAGCTGAGGTGCAGGAATCGGCTAAGCAGACTCTCTACACTGCTCTCGAGGGTGCTTTGACCTTGATCCATCCTATCATGCCCTTCGTCACGGAAGAGCTCTGGCAGCGTCTGCCTCGCCGTCCCGACGACAACACCATCTCCATCATGAAGGCCCGGTACCCCGAATACAAGGCTGAGTTTAATGACACCGAGGCTGAAACTGCCTACGAACTCATCCTGAAGACCTCTAGCGCCATCCGTTCGATTCTTGCCCAATATGAAATCAAGACCAAGGGAGACATCATCATCCAGACCTACGATGCCACCAGCCACAAGACGCTCTCGGAAGAACTGACCAGTGTCAAGTCTCTGGGTGGTAAGTTCCTGGGCGATCTCAGCATTCAGGGACCCGAGACTACTACTCGGCCATCGGGTTGCGTGGTGTCTGCTGTTGGCTCTGAGGCTGCTGTCTTCCTCCGCGTGTCCAAGGAGGTCGCTCTTGAACAGGAGGAGAAGGCCAAGGCCAGCCTTGAGAAGGCCCGTGCCGTCGTGACTCGCCAGAACAACCTCATGAGCAGCGCTGCATGGAAGGAGAAGGCTAAGCCTGAGGTACGCGAGATGGAAGAGAAGAAACTCAAGGATGCTGAGAGCGAGACTGCTCGTTTGGAAGAACAGATTCGTGAATTTGAGAAGCTGCGGCTAGAGTAAAGAGTAGATGAGCTCTGCATATAGTTAGTACCCCTATAAAAGGTGAATTCAAGACTGTTCAAACAATTATTCTATCTTGTATTTTGTATTTCTCCAAGGTATACACCGTTTCCTGGGCAACGCCTTTCGGGTCGTTGAGGTTCTGTACTAATGCTTGCCGACCTTCTCGTAGGATCTTAATCGCAAGCTATTATTCAAGCAAGATCCTTCAGGAGACTGGACGCATAGCTTGAGAGATCGAGTTCCCCCCCCCCCATATGAGGCTGGGTGCTAATAAGCTTATCGATAAGAGACGCCAAGACCTTTCCGCCAAAACTTTTCGTTCCGCCTTTTTCTAATTTTTGATCCTCACTAGAGATCAGCCGCTGAGCAGGCACCATCTGGAAGTTTTTCCACCGAGAAGCCATATTTCAAGATGATGCTCAGAGAAGTGTAAGCCTTGCCAAATATCCCTGTAAGAGTATGTGTATGACGTGGGAATGCTGACCGGTGAAAATCTCTGCGACAGAAAACCCAAGAATCCGCGCACGGCGCGAATTCTCAAAGCCAAAGAACCCCAGCTCATCGAAGGAGCCAAGCGCACACTGTTACTGCACGGCTCGAAATGTCCGACACCGCTCCACACGGTCCTTAAAACTTTCCACTCCCTGACCCGGCCAAACTCGATCCTGTTCCACAAGAAGAATGAGAATATTCACCCGTTCGAAAGTGCAGAGAACCTTGAGTTCTTGGCCGATAAGAACGACTGCGGTATGGTGCTGTTCGGCAGCAGCACTAAGAAGAGACCAAACTGCGTGACTATGGCTCGGGTTTTCAATGCCAAGCTACTCGATATGTGTGAATTGTTGTTGCTGCCCAGCCCGGATGGAGACCAGGTTCCCTCGATGAACAACCTCACCATGAACGTTGGTATGGGATTACGGCCCCTGCTGCTTTTCTCCGGCACCCCCTGGGATGATCCTACGTCGTCGGCGCATGTCATGCTGAAGAGCATGTTCATGGATATGTTCAAGGGCGAAACCACGGATAAGATTGATGTGGAGGGCTTGCAATATGCGCTCATGGTTGGTGCTGAGGAACCCACCGATGGCTTGTCGCCTGTTGTTCATCTGCGGTGGTACAAGATCAAGACGAAGCGCAGTGGACACAAGCTCCCACGGGTGGAGTTGGAGGAGATCGGTCCCAAGTTTGACTTCAAAGTTGGACGTATCCAGGAGGCGCCTCGGGATGTCATGAAGGAGGCGATGAAGCAAGGCAAGCGGCCTAACGAGGAGATTAAGATGAAGAAGAACATCGGCATGGATTCTATTGGTGATAAGGTCGGTCGCGTGCACTTGACCAAGCAAGATCTGGGCGGATTACAGACGAGGAAGATGAAGGGTCTGAAGCGGCGTGCCGGCATGGAGTCGGATGAGGAGGATGCCGATATGATGGATGTGGATGAGGTCTCGGAGGACGAGGGACGGAAGAGGACCAAGACGGCTTAAAAATGTATTCATTTGATGAAGTTCCCTCTTTTTCTATCACGCACGAGGCGTTACAGGCGGATTGGTTTCTCTGTTGACTATGCCGAGCAATATAGCTGCTTCTCTATAAACCCCGTTTGATGTTGTTCATGTGTATAGACCTGCGCTACTGCTCCCTACAAGTGAAATAAAAGTTCGAGCACAACCACTGGTAGCATCTAGCCCTCAAGTCTACGTACTGTATAGATCGTATGTATGCCTGACTGCCTTAGGACTTGTGCGTGATCAGCAGGCGCCCACGTGACCAGTGACGTTTTTGGGGGGATTCGGCGCATGCTCACATGCCGAGGGATCTTTTTGCATTTGCGCGGATGGGAAGATGTCCTTAATTGCCGCCCTCCCCACCTTCCTGTGGTCCTGGCTTTTTAATTACTATCTTTTCTTTGGGCTCCAAGAGGATACTTCCATTCTTCCTCGTATGACCCCCCCAAATGATCCGAAACACATCGAGTGATCTCCGTCGGTGAAACTGTCCCATATCGACCTGTGCTGCTCATCCGATCGGCCTGCCGAGGTCCCCGACGAGTCACTATGGATGCCCTCATGGTAGGATGAGATGTTCCTTTACTACCCTTCAGTCGCCGTTCATGCCTTTCTAATCGCTGTATAGTCCCGTTTAGATACTATTGTCACCAACCCCGACCTTGCACCTATTCTCGCGCTACTTAAGACCGTTCGTAATGGCGCAGTGTACGGCGCAAAAGTGCGGTTTCCGCATGCTTTGGTGTATGTCCAACCTGGGAGAAAATTAGATTCCACTGGGAACTATAGCTGATATGTTGATGTATTTCCTTACAGGATGATTTTTCTCTTTCGTTCTGGAACGTAAGCGATCCCTTTTCGGTATGACTGTCATACCAGTCCGTGTGCTGATATACTCTATAGCTTCCGAGAAAAAACAAAGCTTGTCCTGAAAGCCACACGCCAGCATGCCCGGAACCTCGCGACCTTTGCTTTCATATACAAGAGCTCTATGCTCGTGCTGCGAAATGTGAACCCTTCTGGAGTCGGAAAGGAGGGACGGTTTGACAGCTTCTTTGCCGGCCTGCTGGGAGGGTATGCCGTGTTCGGCCGGAACAAGACAAGCATCACCCAACAGGTATGGACTATGAACACCATAACAGGGAGGAACCTGAGCTAACATAGACCATGATAGATCGTTATTTACGTTTTTGCCCGTGTGCTGCTGGCTCTTGCCAAACTGTCCGTGCAACCGAACATGCACCCCCTATCGTCCCTGATAACCCCCGGTACTCGAGCCGACATAGAGAAACACGCATGGCCAGCCTTTGCCAGTTTGAGCTGGGCTATGGTTATGTACATCTTCCGCTGGCACCCGGACACCCTCATGTCGAGTTTGAAGAGTAGCATGGTTTACATGTATGGCCTTTTCTCCTCCTTTTTCTTTTTTCTTTTCCCCAGATTGACCCTTACTGATGCTCCTTAGCTATTCCGACTGCGATCACTGGGATTCATTCCGCAACTTTATGATCCACAACAAATAGACGACGACCTTGCATCAGTGTGCGATTTCTCTTGAGCGGCTGGGTCAGCAATTTTACTTCGGCGTATAGATGGCGCTTGTGTGTTTTTCTTTCTTGTTGATTTTTCCTCTGTATTATCTTTATGTTTGGATGGGCTGGACTAAGATATCCTACTTAACAGTGGTGCTGCCCACCGTGGGCAGCCCGAGTAAGCTGCTGAATGATGCAAGCCCTCCCGCAGGCGGATGGGGGAGTTGATGCTGCCAGGGCGATGGGCTCAATGATTGTAGATAGGCTAGAGTAATAAAGCCATACCGGAGCATTGTGGTGTCTGATACCCTAATGGTGCAGCCGTGTTGCCGTCGTTATGAACCGTCATGCTTTCTCGCAACGCTCCTAGATGCTAGATCTGAGAAAGCTAAAGAACTTCATCCTGCATTCTACTACAGTTGCCGTATGCATTGTTGTTGACCATGTCCGGGTGTCCAGTCTCCGAAGCGTCTACTCCGAGTAAGCCGTGAGTAACCGAGGCTGAGACCCATGAAATGTAATATGAACGAATTCTATATTTCTTCCCCAACCAGGGGTCTATTTGCTCAGTTTGCACATTGCATATCCCATGGTAGATTGTTAGTAGTCTTATTGACACCCATATTGTCTGTCTGTTCTGTAGAACCACCCTTCCACACCTCACAACTTGCTCCTAGGCTCTACCAACCTCTCCACCTCGGCAAACTGATAATAAAAGTCCAAACTCTTCGCATTCAAAAGCGTCCCCGAGGGCTTGATCTTCTTCCCCGAGACAATCTGCTTCACGGGCAACTCCACTTTCTTGAGGTTAACCGTCGTCTACACCCTCATTAGCCTGCGCTCGCACACCGTCGCCCAGAGGAAGACAACTTACCGGAATCTCAGGCGTCTGGAAGACATACTTCGGGACATGTCTCGCACTGAGAGCCTTCCGAATCGCCTCCTTGACCCGTCCCACCAACTGCGGCGTGAATTCGCGCCCCGGTCGCATGAGCAGGAACAGCATCACCGATTCATCGGGATCCTGGGGTCGTCGCTGGCCCACGCAGATTGAGTCTGCGATTTCATCGGCGAACCGTGTGTCGATTACGTTGTAGATCTCGGCGGACCCGAACCGGATTCCGGAGGGGTTTAGCACTCCGTCTGAGCGGCCGAGGAAGAAGATTTGCTTGGTGATCGGGTGGATGCTGATGAAGTCGCCGTGGGTCCAGACGTCTTTCTGGTTGTTAGTATGCCGGGACACACCTGAGAGAAGAGTGGGAGCGCTTACTGTCAAACCGGGCAAAGTAGGAGTCGAAATACTTCTGGGGTCCGTCGTCGCCCAGGAACTTCACCGGCATGGTTGGGAATGCTGCCGTGGCGACGATTTCGCCCGGTACGCCGTCTGGAACTGCCGTCCCCTTGACGCCAGACGCTCCTTCGTCCGCTTGGTCGAAGGCTGCAATGGGGAGACCCAGACTGGGTCCCTGGCAGCCGCCCACGTACAGAGGCGTCAGGGGGTTTTCGAGGCCGAAGCATGCGGCCAGGTCGGTCCCTCCGGAGATGTTGGCTAGCTGCGTGTGAGCCGGGAAGCCCTCGTCGTAGAACCATTCGAACAAGGACTCCGACAGCACCATGCCGGTACTAGTGACAATGGAGAGGTTGGAGAGGTCCGCGATGTCCTTCGGCTGGACCTCGTTCTTTCGAAGCTCCTGCAGATACCGCGGCGAAGTACCGAAGTGCGTCACTTTGTACTCGCCCAGCAATCGGATGAGGAATTTCACGTCAGGCAGGAAGGGACTTCCGTCATATAAGATGGGTTTCCCACCGAACATCAGCCCCGCGATGGCAGACAGGTACATGATCCATCCCGTAGTCGTGTACTGTAGCACGACAGATTCCGGACCATGGAGCCTATGTAGCCGGGCCTCTTTACTGCCGTTGAGGATATATCCACCGACGCCATGAACAATGGGCTTCGGCTTCCCCGTAGTCCCAGACGAGTACACGACCAGGAAGGGATCCCGGAACCCAATGCGGACAAACGCCAGCTGATCGGACGGTGCCTGGGCCAGGAAGGTCGCCAGCGACTGCGTCTGAGGCATACCACTCAGATCAGCCGCAACCGCAAACCGAGGCACAGCAACCACACCCCGGAACTCCTGGACACCACCCAGCCCACCAACAATATCCCTAATCTTGGGCCGCAGATCAATCCGCTTCCCGTTATAAACCGCAGCGTCGTCCACAAACACCCACTTCGGCTGGAGCTGCAGCAACCGATCCAGAATCCCCTTGACCCCGGTATCAGTCGACGCCGACGAGAATAGCGCCCCGAGCGCCGTCGTTGCCAGCAGCACGACCAACGTATCGATGCTGTTACTCGCGACCACCGCGACCCGATCGCCCTTGACAACACCCGCTGCCTTCAAGGCCTGGGTTAACCGCCCTGTTCTCTGTCGCAGTTCGCGCCAGGTGATGCTAATCGGGGACTCGGAGCCGCCCTCGCGGATCTGTGTCAGGGCGACTTTGCCGTCTTCTTTGTTTGTGGTTGTGATTTTCAGATCGCCATTGGGGGCCCGCTCGCCAGTGAAGAGCATGTTCTCGGCGAAGTTGAGACGGATGCCCTCGAACCAGGTCGGCACGCTGTCTATGCGGGCCGATTCGTCGACGACGGTGGTGTAGGTGCCTTCGTGGATGATGGGGAAGTAGTCCCAGCAGAAGGCCCAGAAGGCGGCGCGGTGGTTGATGGACCATTGGTAGAGGTGGTGGAATGTCTGTCAATGGTTAGATTGGCTGTGTACGGTTTCTTGGGCGTGAGAATTGTAGAACCTACGGGGAATCGGAGGCCCTTCTCAGCTTCTAGCTGTTGTTTAAAGGCCCACATCTCGGTGGACTGCGGGTTGGCGTGTTCCCACAGTTTGCGGGGAAGCGCGGAGGACGGGGAAGCCATGGCTGCAATGGATGTATGAATGACACCGTCGAGAGAGATGAATAGATCAATTGAATCTTCGCTCGAAAAGGTCTTCAACCTGCCCAGATCATCATGGCGATTCACATAGGACTATTTATACGTAGACAGGCACATACTCTGATTGCGCCTCGGCTATCGATCGGGTTATGCGGAGATGCGGGGGGAACTTCCACTGCTTATTCCCACCAGCGTAAACCCTATTTCGACTGGATGGGACTGCGATTGGATGCTAGTGGGTGAATCTGGAGCTGTCAAGAGGCGCTGGCAGGATTTCCTATAGCTATTTACCCGAGCTGCCAGTACCGAATCAGTCATTCAGCGGCAGTGCTGGCTAGGGTTGTTGGTGGCCTTGAGGCTCGGTAGTACTTGTGTCTGTCGACCTTGCGTGGACGCTGCCCCTATCTGTGAGATCAAATGAAGGAGGGAATATTAACCAGAGAATACTATGTACCTTGGGGCTTGGAGAGGGGTCTTTTGTTTGCTACTATCGTGTAGCTAGCGTGAGACCAGTTCTTTTCGTCTCTCTGTCTTGTTTTGGTACCGGTGGTATCCTGCGATAGCCCCTGGTGGCTTGGTGTTGATGGAGAATAGGTGAGGATTGAGTTGAAGATGATGCGACAGCTATACAATATGTCCGACCATACCATCTGCTATGCAATCTAAGCCCAATACCAAGCTCTCTGTCAACAGGAACCGGCCCAGCAGCAAGCCAGTAAACAAGGTGAACCACTTGAAGAACACGCCGGTCTTGGCAAGTTGGGGATTAGGGCATACTTTCCGCATCCGGTAATCGATTTGGAGACATGGTCGACCGGATTTGTAAGAGCTACCCCCAAGCCCTCTGGGTCTTGTTGTGCTCCTAGATGGGTACTCAAATTCTGGTTTGCTATCTTAAGATGATTAACAATCCCGCAATTGCAAGATAGGACGAAATCTCAACATACTCTGTACATACACAGAACAACCAAAAAGATACATAACCCGAGTCCCCATTCCTCACCCCACCCAACACGAACATATTCCTCGCCATGTCGACGCAGCTTTTCGAGCCTCTGCGCGTCGGCAACCTGACCCTAAACCACCGGGTGGTCATGGCGCCCCTGACTCGACTACGCGCCGACGAACACCACGTCCCCCTCCCCATGTCCACCAACTACTATGCCCAGCGCGCCTCCGTCCCCGGGACGCTGATCATCGCCGAAGCCACTCTCATCTCCGCCGCCGCAGGAGGCGTGCCCCACGCGCCGGGCCTTTTCACAGACGCCCAGATCCAAGCGTGGAAGAAGATCACCGACGCCGTGCACGCCAAGGGGAGCTATATCTACTGCCAACTGATAGCGCTGGGGCGCGCAGCCGACCCGTCGACTCTGAGAAAGGAAGGGGGGTTCGAAGTCTCCGCGCCGAGTGCCATCGCCATGCAAGATGGGGCGACGGTTCCGCAGGCGCTCAGCGAGGAAGAGATCCGGGGATTCATTCGGGACTTTGCAGCCGCGGGTAGGAATGCCATTTTGGCGGGATTCGACGGCGTCGAGGTCCACGGCGCCAATGGATACCTGGTGGACCAGTTCCTGCAGGATGTCAGCAATCAGCGGACGGACCAGTGGGGCGGGAGTATTGAGAACCGGGCACGGTTCGGGGTTGAGGTTGCGAAAGCGCTCGTGGAGGCTGTGGGTGCGGACCGCGTGGGGTTTCGGATCAGTCCCTGGAATACCTGGCAGGGCATGAAGATGGCGGATCCGGCGCCGCAGTTCTCGTACCTGGTGCGGCGGCTGAAGGAGCTGGGACTGGCGTATCTGCATGCGATTGAGTCGCGGGTTATCAATAATGTGGATTGTGAGAAGCGGGAGGACTTGCAGCCTTTCCTGGAGATCTGGGGTCGTGCGACCCCGGTGCTGCTCGCTGGGGGTTATACACCCGACAATGTGCGCCAGGCCGTGGAGGAGGAGTATCAGGGTTATAATGTGGCTGTCGTCTTTGGGAGGCATTTCTTGGCTAATCCGGACTTGCCGTTTCGCTTGCAGCATGGCATTCCCCTGCAGAAGTATGATCGGGATACGTTTTATACGCCCATGCAGTGTCATGGCTACGCGGACTATCCTTTTAGTTCGGAGTTTCGGACACGTGTGAAGAATTAGTTAGTCTGCGTGTTGGGATGTATTATGGTTTACCAGGGGGGATTGTTTGTATGATATAGAAAGTTTGGTATATGAGTATATTATGGTTGATCTTAGTCTGTAGTTTATGATACAGCATGCTCCGTAGACTCTACATGCTCACTCGGGTCAGATTCTTTGGGTTTCTTGCCAACTTCCAGAAATTCGCTACGGCCAAAAACACACCCCGAGCGCTGAGACAAGGCAAGCAAACAAGCTTGTCGTAGCTGGTGACTTGGTCCTGTGTCATCTGAACTTGGCTTGTCATCCGTCCTCCATGATAGATTCCACGACTTTGGTATTAAGCAAAGTATCAAGTAGGACCTACGCGAATCGTCTGTTGCAAGCTCGACTTCACCATCGAATAGAATAGACGCGGCCCGGTTTTCATCGAGACGGGAAACAGCCCAAGCTGATTCATAATGATGTAAAAGCCGGCCTCTGCGGATGAGCCAGCCAGGGTCAGACTGGGGACAAACCGCTTCCAGGAAAGGGAACACAGAATTTAGCGTAGGCATGGAAAAGTCTAGCGCGAATAGTTAGTTGTACGCCCGAAAGGATTGCAGGAGAAACAGACCATCTGGGCGATGGCAAACTTTGAATATAATCAACTCCAGCGACTCCTTCTCCACGTCCAGCGACTGCCAGAGCGCATCGTCAACGGTGTCCTCTGAACTCAGGTGGATAAGATGAGAACGGAAATCGCGGGTGCTGGCTCTGAGCACGCGTATTAGTCCTGGTCTAGAAAAGGTCCGGCTGATTTCCTACCGTTCTTCAATCTCCATGCCAACACGCTTACGTTCGCACTCTGCTATGTTTCTCAACGGCCGAGGCTTGCCACGATTTATCCGGAAAGGCCATCTGGAAGAGACTGTGTACGCCTCGGAGAAGTCATATAAGACTGTATCATAAAAGTCACCAGGAAGTCTAAAATGCCAGTCCTGGACGTCTCCGTGAGTGACCCCCAGTCGATGCAAGGCATCCAGGCGACGGAGGCGGTCGTTCAGCAAAGAGCGATACCAGTCGCGCTCAAACGAGCTGAAGGGCAGCTTCGCAAGTACCTCCAAGGAGCCTTCTGGCAATTGAGAGGTACGCCCAGCAAGAATACGCCGAGAATGCAACTTCGGTACGATGGCTTCCAGCACGACGGCTCGCTGATGAACATATCCTGACAAGAACCTATCTCTTTGCATGTCGGTAACTACACCATGGAATCTAGGGAAATATGTTCTTTCCCCGCGGGAACAGAATCGGTCAATCTGGGTATATGCCCGAGCTTCTCGGACGAATCTATCAAACTCGCGCACGGCATCGTCTATCATCTGGGGGATCTGGCGCTTCGACACCCCGAGCCGGTAAAGCTGAGACGCGGCCTCCCTCTTTGTATAGTCGGGAAACTACAATGGGATGAATTCTTAGTATAGCGCACAGCTAAGGGACCAACTGACCACTTTGCCTGCGTATTTTCTATGTCCATTGTTCAGAAGCCAGAGAACTTGTATCCTGGTCTCGTCTATCGGTCTTGTTTTATCGGCCAGGCCTCGTAGTTTCCAATCTTCATCTCGAGAACAGAAAGGTCGGAACGGTTGATCGTCCTTGATTTCGTTCACGAACTCTGGAGGGTTGCCAGAGAAGAAAAGGTTTATCCAGGAGTTTTCTCCCTCCATAATAATCGTGGACAGATGCTCTGATGCTTTGATAACTCGACGATGAATCGGTGAATTTGTTGGGTAAGAGTTCCATGTAAGAAGGGAGCTGTCGGCACCCTGTCCCAGGCTCCCAGCACACCGCTTAGGCAGCGTTTAGGCTACCAGCCGTGGGCCATGATCGTGGTATGCTGATCTCGTTCAATCTGTAAGTGATTTCACGTCGAAATTGCAGAGACAGGAATTGAGGGGGAAAATTCCCACTGTTCAGGATGCCCCTTGGCTGCTGGAGCAGCCTACGTGCGAGTCACTGCCACCAATATTATATACTTGTCTATAGATCTTTTGTTCGCATTACCATACTATAGTCAGTTATTGACTACTATGCATTATCTTGGATAGCCCACCCATAGACACTGTCATTCAAGAAGTCTTCCGTCCAGAACCATTCGTCGATATTGAAGTTCAAGTCCAGGTTCTCTTCAACAGTTTCCACACCCCCCTCCACCAACCCTCCCTTCAGACCCTCGACAGGCGCCGGAGAGTTCATAGCTGTTATTGCCGGCGTCAGGAGCCCACTCCCCACATCCAGCATATCCAATCCATGACTTTGAGAAGATTGAACTGTTGAACTATCCATCTCGCCCTGCCTGATCTCCCTCTCGAACTCCATAATGTACGCCCCAACCGTAACCCCCATCGTCTTCTTAAATACTCGACAAAGATAACTCGGCGTAACGCCAACCTCCTGCGCCAGCTCCTTCAAGCCCTGCTTCATCGCCACCTCATCCTTCTTTATCCGCAAAAGCGTGATAACTCTGGCGACAACCTCCTCCTTCCCCCCGAGAAAACTGACATTATCCGGCTTGCACCTCTTGCACGGCCGGAAGCCATCACGGCGGGCTTGGTCTGCTGTGTCGTAGAACACCACATTGGCTCTTCGAGCTATGCGCGCAGCACAGGTGGGGCGACAGTAGATCTTTGTGGATTTGACGCCGTACAGAAAGGATGAGTGGGATGAAGGGGCGCGGTGCGTAATGGCAAGCCAACGGGAATGGGAAGTTTGGAATAAATCGGGAGTGGTACAGGGAGATTGTGTTTCCATGTTGAGATGGCTGGCAATCAGAGTTGGGCAGAGAGGAAAGTCGGAGTGACGTTGCGAAGTATATAAAAGTGAGCGGGTCGGAGCCTTAGTGCCGAGGGGATATAAACCAGCGCTATACCGGATCGAGTTATAGGGCTACCGTAGGGGCGTGATTCTGTCATTCTCAATGCCAGGGGTTGGGTCTAGAATTTGGTCTAATAGTCTATTCGTATAACAGTTCTCACTAATACTCTACTCTACTCTACCACTTGATCCTCCAATCCCACCCTTTTACTTTGATCCTGACCCAGAGAAAACACAGCGAAGCCGCCACATAGCTGAGTCCCGCGAAAAGTGCGGTGCCCCAGTATTTTTCTTTCCCGGTAGCCTCCACCGCATTCAGAAGGCTCCCTGCGATAGGGATACTTGCCAACACCCCAAAGGACACTACCGTGAAGCAGCTCGCGTAGTATCGGCCATAGTCGTGTGTTTCGCAAAGCTGGCCGAGACAGATCGGGGTCAGACTAGTGTTTGAACCGCTACAGAGCCCGAATAGTATTATAAAGGCAATCAGGAGTGCCGGGCTATCTAGATCCGATAGGACGATATCTGGTAGCCAAAAGCACAGAACGGAGACTGTGCAGAGGAACAACGAGACAATCATGGTATTGTACCGGCCGAATCGATCAGCCAAGTCCCCCGCCACATACCGCCCAACACACGAAGAAGCATTGAGGATGGCGAGCAGCTGATATGCGAACGCCGCTGATCCCGTCAAGGCCTCTTCTTGAGGCAGGTGCTGTCGATCGATGTAGTAGCTGGGCGTGTACGTGATAGGTATGAAGTAGGCCAGATCTGTCAAGACCAGTCCCGCAGTCGTGACTGCCATGACGCCTGTGCCGTCCATGAAGATTCGAGGGTCTGGCAATGTATCCCGCCACGTGGTTTCTGCTCCGTTGCGCGGTGGAACCCTGCTTCGGCAGAATGTTACGCTGATAGTGCAAAGCGCGAGCAGTACAAATGCGAGAATACGAATCGACCATCCCCAGCCGACTTGAGGGAGGAGTGCTTGTATCATCAGAGGAAAGACAACACCGCCGAAACTGGCCCCGATAAATGCTATGCCGCTGGCAAGACCGCGGCGTTCCATGAACCAATGAGCAACGCATCCTATTGATGGGGTGAGGAGAAGGGATGAACCGATGCCCGTTAGGATGGAGAATGACAAAAAGATCTGGTAGTATTCTATACCACTATTAGCAAGGAAACAGGGCCTTGTGATGTTCACGAGAATGCATGTTCAGGAGAGCGTTTCGAGAACGGATACTGGATGGAGAATTGTATGGAATCTGATCATACCTGTACAAACGCTGAGCGCGAAAATACCGATGAGCGTGCAAACTGTCCCTGCAATGATCAGAGGACGTGGACCCATTACATCAAAGGTCGGTCCAACTTGCACCCCACAGACCCAGTTCACGAAGGCGTAGCCTGAGAATATCCAGCCAATAATCGATTGAGAGTATTCCGGCAAGAGTACTTTGGAGACAACGACCTCGAACACACCGGCTGTGTTGTAGATCCCTAGCGATGCGGTTAAACCACACCATGCACCCAGCACCACCAACCAGGCATCACAACCACCCTCTGGATAAGTGACCTTAGAAGGAGGATATAGATTGCTATCGGTGAGCGTCTCCTGTTTTTCATTGATTGTATGCGAAACATCCATCAGGGACGAACTGTGTTCTAAGATTGGCGCCATGGTCTCCAAATGCTTCACTTTCCAAGTCTTGCAATTTTCTCGGAGTGAAGAAAGTGAGGAGATGTTAACAAGTAGAGTAGTGAAAAGGTAACCAACCCAAGCACAGCAATACCAAAGCTTTTGGAGGATATATAGTCTATATAGATTGATGATAGCCAATTAAAACAACGTATTTGCAGTGTACTTAAAGTAACCAATCGTAGACAAGCTATGGAGCGATGAACTCAAAGTGGCCAATCAGAGCCAAGCCCTAACTGGGGGTATCAAGTCGAGTTCATGATTCTGGATTGCACGTTAAAACCCCCCCATTAGTACAATAGCATGGTGTATGTGCGTATGGAGGAATAAAGGACCGAACTGTACTTAATCCGTAAAACAGCGTATGTCAGTAGGCCCCGTTGAATCTGAGCCCTGAATGTTCAGCAGGATTGCTTCATGCAACATATACTTGGCTACTAGTATGCTAGGCGGAGAAATTATAATATCGCAGTGCATACTTGATGAGCAGAATCCGGGAGATCATTGAATAAGCTTCGACAAAAGTACAATGAAGGCTTCCACCACACACCCTCCATTGGTCCAACGCGTGAGCTTATCGCCAATAGAGACGTTTATTTCGTCCTTAGTCGGTGCCTTAGGATCTACTGGGTTTGGCTACATTGGATGCCTCCGGCCCTTACCATACCCTACAAGATCAATCGTGGCAGACCTCGTCGTCAATGCCGTCTGGCTCCACTATCAAATTGTGCCGGGCTTGGCATTTTGGGGATGAAATATCTTGTGTCTGTTGGCTAAATATGAATATACGATGTTCGTTGTCTTCCTAATCTAGTATTTGACCATCTAGACAGCTAGACTAAGTGACTACAGAGCATAACTTTGATCATGTGCGTAAACGTATTCGCAAAAGAATGAAATATTCATAAGCTCAGAACATTGTACAGCAAATTCTCAAATTTCTCCATGCCTTTCTCCGAACAGGATGACTCCAAATCGCCCCACTCCATATTATAAATCATAAGACGTGGTGAACGTTAGATTTTGATACTCGTGTTTGCGTATTGGTTCGATTAGACTTTTCAACGTGTTGACAGTGAAACGACAATAGCTACGGTCTATCACGGTGCCCTCTCTTTCCAACCCTAGCCGACACAGCCCACCAATACCAGCGACTTTGGGTGTTCTTTACTTCTTTTCAGGATACCTATGGAGCTCCCACTGCCACACCAGGGTCATCCAGATCCATGGCTGTTGAATCATTCTCCGTCTAATGTCAGCTGTCTTGAAAATGAAAGTGACGTAGCAAGAGAGTTGGCGAGGGAGTCTAGAGTGTCATCCCAAGCACCGCAACATCATGGCAAACCCCCAGAGCTACCCACATTATTTGCAGAAATTGTGTTTGTAGTACTCTGTTCGGTGGGACAGCTGCTCTTTGCAATCGTGCTGGCAAACACTCTCGTCAATCAGGTTACTTTGATAGATGCGTTGGGGCTTACTGGGTCAAAATCCCCATGGTTGATCGGTTCTTTCTGTCTTGCCAATGGTGTATCTGTCGTGGTATCAGGATCATTAGCAGACCTGACGAACCCCAGGTGGCTGACTGTGGGTGCCTTAGTCTGGCTCACAATCTGGAACCTGATTGGGGTGTTCTCCATTACGCCATCCCGGATGGTGTTGCACTTCGTTGTACGAGCCATGATAGGCCTTGCAGTGGGTATGATACAGTCGACTGCAGTGAGCATGTTGGGTCGCATCTATAAACCCGGTCAGAGAAAAACCATGGTCTTCTCTTCCATGGCAGCTATGATTCCGCTGGGATTCGGTGTCGGCGCGCTTCAAGGTGGTGCCTTCAGTGCCCATCTTCACTGGGTTTTCGGCTCTACAGCAATTATGTGTGCCCTCTGCGCAGTCGCTGCGTACTGGGCGGTTCCAACTCTCCCGCCATCGTCTGGCCCGGCGGCTGAAGGCAAACTGTCTATCAAGGACTTTGACTACCTTGGAGCAGCTGTTTCGGTGGGCGGATGTGGACTCCTTATCTTCGGACTAACACAGGGTGCACCCACTCACTGGACATCATATACATACGCATTAGTCATTTTAGGGGTATTTCTCATCGTTGCTTTCTACTTCGTGGAACGCTGGGTATCTCGACCACTTATCGACAACCGACTCTGGAAGACGCCGGGTATGATATGGCTGCTGATATCATATTTCCTGGGGTACGGGGCATTCAATGGCGCGTGGATGTTCTACGCAGTTCGCTTCTTTCTTACAATCCAAGAGAAGCCCCCGATCATCGCAGCTCTTTATTTCGTACCCCTTGCCATATCAGGAACAGTGGCTACAGTGGTAGTCGCCAAGACACTCCATCTTCTCCCCGGTCACTACATACTCATATGCAGTATGATTGCATTCGCTTCAGGACCAGCATTCTTCCTCCCGCAGACCTCCAATACTATGTACTGGGCACTGTCATTTCCTGGCGTTATCCTCGTAGCTTCGGGCCGGACATGTCGTTTGCAGCCGCCTCAATATTTGTAACTTCCAACGTGCCGAAGTCCTTCCAAGGTTCGGCGGGCAGCTTGCTGGTCACCATGCAGAATCTGTCCTCTGCAATTTTCACAGCCATTGGGGATACGATTGGAGAGAGTGTCGCCAAAGGAGAGGGTTACAACCTGGACCTTGAGGCACTGCGAGCTATCTGGTGGTTTAGTCTGGCAACATCTTTGCTCAGCGCTTTGATCTGTGGAGTTTTTGTCCGAATCCCCAAGGCTGAGGAGAAGGAGCATCTACAGTAAACACACTGTCATCGCGACCTAAAATACTTAGCTCAAAGACCTTCAAACATACCAGAAAAAAATCAAAAGGAAAACTGGGAGTCACTTCTTATGTCTTAGCAGACTAAGAACATATATATACTAGTGGTAAGATACGCAACGGCTATCGCAGTGCAAAGTCTCTGCAAACGTGAGTTCACTAGCCATCTAGTGTAAGAACAATCGAAGCGTAGTTGTTCTTTTATCAATCCAGGGAAAGCTGAATGAAAGTTGGTTTGGCTGAGGTCACGACTAGATAGAGGTTTGAAGTGGATGGCTTGGCATTTTGGGGAGATACATATGTCGATCAGAATATTACTTGGGGAATCTCCAACAAATTTCTGGCAATCTCTGTCCAATATTTGTAATTGCTCTACTCCGTTCTGTTCTGTTCTTCAGCAGTAAACACTGATAGATGTATATAAGTCGTAGTTAATTGAGATAGCCGTAAATGCTTTGGCTGTAAGTAATGCCCTAGCTCCTACAGTAGGCTACAGACGTTGCACATTGCTCGCCATTCAGACTGTGAATTTACGATAGTAAAGTAGGTATCTAATCTGTGCATTTATATTACGAAACAGATGAAAGCTCCTCGTGCGAAGAAACTAACCCGTATAGTCTGTCTCATGGCGCTGCAACTTCTCCGCGATAGTTCTCTTGGTCAAGGCCTCCGCACAATCGCACGGCCTTCCTGGCTACAGTACCCAGAGGACCGCGATGGCCACTCAGATGATATCGAATACATATCTAAGTTTGAAGATCTCAACGGGAATATAAAGATTGTCAATTGGTACGGGGAGGGTGATCCTGAAAACCCCCTCAACTGGTCGCCCATCAAGAAAGCATGGGTGGTCTTCGTCATTGGCTACTATAGCTTTGTTGTATACATGGCAGCACCGATATACAGCCCTGGGAAGGATGCCTTCCGGCACGAATTCGATGTGAATCCTGCCGAGTCCTCCCTAGGGCTTGCGCTCTATGTGTATGTTATTGCCCCTGGTGATCCTTCCACGTTCCGCAACTGAGTACACCACAGCTTAGGGTACGGCGCTGGACCGCTCCTCTTCAGTCCCCTGAGTGAGATCCCTCGCTTTGGTCGGAACCTCCCCTATGTGATATCCTTCATTATCTTCACGATTCTATGTATCCCTACAGCATTTGCCCCCACCGCTATCGGGTTCTATTTCCTGCGATTCCTGCAAGGTTTCTTCGGTAGCCCCTGTCTGGCTACCGGCGGCGCATCCATCAGCGATGTCTACGACCCCTATGTCCGTCCCTACGCCATGACAGGATGGGTGTACTGTATTTTCTGCGCCCCAGCAATCGGCATGCTAGTCTCGGGCTTCGCGATCCCCGTCCTCGGCTGGCGGTTCTCCATGTGGGAGATATTGATGGCCGCCGGCCCAGCCCTAATTCTCATCCTCCTCCTCCCAGAAACAAGCCCATCAGCAATCCTCTGCCGAAGAGCCCAGCGCCTCGAAGCCATAGACCAATCGACACACTACCGAACCGCATCGGAAATCACACAGTCGCACATCTCCTTCTACGACCTCGTCCGAGAATCCCTTCTCACCCCAATTAAGATCACCCTCCTGGACCCCGCCATCCTCTTCGTCAACATCTACACCTCCCTCGTCTACGCTATCTACTATACCTTCTTCGAAGCCTTCCCCCTCGTCTACATGGACATCTACCACTTCAACCTCGGTCAGATGGGCACTGCCTTCCTCGCCATCGTCATCGGCACCACCATCTCCATCGCAATCTACAACATCTACAACTACCTCATCGCCATCCCCCGGGCCCGATCTCGCGACAGCAACCCAGAGCCAGAAGAAGTCCTCACCCCTGCCTTGATCGCCTGCTTCGGGCCCTCAATCGGCCTCTTCCTCTTCGGGTGGGCTTCTCGTCCTGAGATCCACTGGGTCGTTCCGACCCTCGGTATTGTCATATACCCCGGCTGTGTGTTCGTGCTGATGCAGTCTGTATTCTTGTATATCCCCGCGTGTTATCCTGAGCATGCGGCGAGTGTGTTCGCCGCGGCAGACTTTATGAGAAGTGCGCTTGCTTGCGGGGCGGTGGTTTTCTCGCGTCCGTTATTCTTGAACTTGGGGGTGGGTGGCGGGTGCTCGCTTCTCGCTGAATTGACCGTTCTTTGTATTTTGGGGATTTATCTGTTGAGGTTTTATGGGGGTGCTTTGAGGAGGAGGTCGAGGGTTGGGGGGAAGTGGTGAGGGTCTGGTACTAGACTTGCAGACATTTGTCTCTGGTAAGATGAATGAACAATGTATAGACCTATGATCATGTTTCTAGAGCGGATTGATTCTTTATGCTGGAAAGTGTGAGACCTGAGACTGCTCTCATTGCATCGTAGAATAACGCCAGTCTATGATAGCACATAACGCCCACTTGCGTATAATTCCAAGCTATGTCCAATGATATCTATAAAAGGCCATTGGGCATTGCCGCGCATGATCCGTGCCCACAGGTGCACTACGAAAAAGGCTAGTCTCTCACAGTTCAGTCCATCAGATGTATTATCCTCACTATCATCGAGAGATGTTCTGCCCTCTTCCACGATCCGACGGACCCAGTTCAGGAGCCGCTGCTCATGTTCTGGTGCATTATCAGTTTTTTTTTTCCGGTGTCGGGGGTGGATCAGATACTGGGGTTGCGGGTGCTGAGGCACTTACCTTCCAGTGGATGCTTTTCCTGCGTTTCGCCTACAGCGTGGAGCCATTTACTCAGTAGAACTGCGAACTCTACGCCGCAGAGTGCGTGTTGGTTACTCCATACAAAGGCCTGGCTTCGAGATATGTACTCTAGGCCTAGCTTTACTGGGATGCTCAGTGCGTGGGTGGCATGGAGTAGGGCGGGAAGGAGGCGCCGACTGCGGGTGAGAGGCTTGGAGTCAAGCAAGGTGGAGGCAATCTGTCGTGGGTCTCTTGTGATTAATGCTCTACACGGCCCGAGGTCTAGCTGAAGGCGGGTGTATGCCAGTCCAAGCAACGCGGTCGATGTGAAAGGAATAGGACCGTTGGGGTTCAGGGGGTCAAGACTGGATTCGGGTGCCAGTTGCCATGTAGATGTCCAGCGTCGTAAGGCATTCCTTTTCAGTCAGCGAGTCTCAGCCAAGACCGTGGGACACGGGTGGTTCTTACTCGAATATGTCCAGCTGGTCTGACGAAATAACACCGGACAGCGATCCCTGCCTGCTGAGGAGAATGCGGTGGAGGAGTCCATGTATCATAATGATGCTAGCCGACGGAGAAGGGATTGGCTTGAGTGAACTCGGGGCCTCCTTGCCCGCTAACAGAAAGGCTAGGGCGTCTGGGAAAAGGCTCTGCTCTCGAGAAATATCTTCGCGAAATTGCCTCCAATTGCTCTCGTCGACCGCTCTCCATTCCTCGCAGGTGCAGGGGAGTCGAAGGTTGATTTCGTGGCTCAAGAGAATAGGTGGTAGGTTATATGCAATGCTTTGTAGGTTCAGGAAGGCAAACGCAAAGAGTTTGACACGGCGATCCAGCTCCAGTCGTAACCATGTCTGCCAGTCGAGTTCGTCCGAGTCTGGGATGTTCACTTCTACTAATCCGCTTTCTCTCAGCAGGCGAACGAGTGTGCTTTGAAGCCCGCAAACACCTTTGACGACCTCAGGATCTTGCTGCCAGGTTGCGTATATAGCCAAATTGAGTAGACATCTGATATCGTCCGTAATTGTCGGACTTGGGTAGTAAGGGTCGGGGTTTACTACGATCGGCGGGGGTAGTAGATCCGATTTGCATGAGGTGGCCTCCCTGTGTCGCTGCCGCTCATGAAAAATTGCTTTCGATGCGTAAAAGAGTACCCGGCCTTTACGGTGCTCATACCGATATTGAGCGCCAGATGCTGCCATCGATAAAATCAACTCTAAGGGATAGTTCTCCGGTAGAAATGATGGGCCATGCATAAAAGGGAAATGTGGATAAACCCTGTCGAAATAGGCGTTTAGAAATCGGGTTAAAGAGTCTCGAGATGGCAGTGTGAATCCAGGCAATAAATGCTGAAATGGACCGAGTGCTTCCACAAGGTGCGCCCTCTGTGCCTCTGTGATCTTCAACTGTGGCATATACACAGCTGCCTGCACCGCTGATGCCCAGGAGTAAAAAGCCAACTGTTAGTGTCGGCGATCTTGCTGGAAGGGTTAAAGAGGTATCTTACCCGCTGGATTCAATGGAATCGGCAGCAAGGTGGGTGACTGTGCCCGGTGAGCGCTCTCGCTTTGCTCCTCGTCGTAGTCTGGCCTTGGATTTTGGGAGACACGAGCGTGGTAGTGGTTCGTATGGGCCGCGTTGGATAGCGGTGCATGCTCTAGTGGGATACTCCTGAGATCAATGAGACTCTCCGAATCAAGAGCCAGGCCCATATTGTCGATGAAGCTAGTGAAGTCCTCCAAAGGGTCATAGAAATTGTGTGGGTCGGGAAATGTGATATCTATCAACGTTTTAGCAGCCGGTCTCTGGACTGACGGTAACTGAGGACTCACCTGGTTCTTGAGTAATGGAAAGCACTGCATCGCCTGAGCTAGTTCCAGCAAGCAGCGGGTTTGCTGTTACCTCCACACCTGGTTCCCTCGGTGATGAATTATACCCCGGCAGGTGGTTTCCGTTCGAGGCTACATGAGAGCTCGTCTCCACTGTAGTACCTAAGCTAGGAGTGGATGGTGAGATAAAAGATGCTGCCGTATTTGGGGTCCCAACATGTGAGGGGCGATTCCTTGAGGGAGAGATAGTGTCGGAAGGCAGCTCGCTAGCTCGTGAGCTCACTTCTATACGCGAGGGTGTCGGATTCTGATCGCCACCATGGGCAATTCGTTGGTGACGCTTCAGAAGGTCTTTCCTGGCAAATGTCTGTCCACAGGGACATATAAACGGCTTTTCATTTGTATCTTTGAAAAGTCAGGCTTTATAGTTCTCATGGCCTCCAGCGACTGGATGATACTCTGTAGACTTACGGAGTCTCACATGACGTTGGAGATGCTCCAGACGTCGAAAGTCACGCTGGCAGTATGTACAAGTAAAAGACTTTCCAGCCACAGTACTAGATTGACGACCCACATTGGAGATTCGAGAAGGTGGCATTGTTTGCTATCATGCGAGGATTTTTTGTCTGTCGGCGGAACTTCTCCAACGCTTTGAAGATTGTTGGAGATGATATGCACGTGACGTGATGTCATCATGCTCAGGTTAGGGCTTGAGATGGACACGGGTGGTTCATTAGTGATGGCTCCAATTAGTACGTAGTTATATGAATTGATGCGACTACGATTTCAGATGTAAGGTGCGTATCTGGCAGGAAGCCGAGTCCGAGTCCGAGGCTCTCGGCTGTATCAAATATGTTGGGAAGTCCGCTTGGGCCACAACCTCACTCTTTATACCTGAAGAACAACATACACGGCAAGCAATTTCACGATCCATTCATCTGGGTCAGGACTAGGATAGTACGCTGTCAATGGATCTCATGTTTACATGTTCTCAAAAGCAACAGCCTCGGCCTAGTTTGACCAGGGAGTACCGCATCCCTAGTTCGAGATGAACATGCCACGCCCTCTGTCCGTTCCAAAGTCCTTTGGATATAGCCACTGATGCCTTCGTCTGTCCTTTATCATCAAGTAACCTTTGGCGATCCAGGTTGTGCCACCGCCTGTCCCGTCCTGGGGCGTTGCAATACCCATCCCAAACCGCTTTGAAAACGTCCTCCGAGTCATCTACATCATCTACAATATCGCACCATACATTGTAGTTATGCACGCCGATCAAAATCGCCGTATGTTTTCTCCTGTCACTGTTGTCGCCGGTGTTGCTGCCTCTAGAATCGTCACGGAAGAGAAGCACGCCAGCATGTCCGCTACGCCAGGACGTCAATTCAAGGGTTTTCTCGTGCGCTGTCCAGCTCACCTGGGGGTGGGAAGAGCTGCTCAGGCTTTCGGGAGGGGGACGGTGAATCACAAAGGTATATCGGGACTCCGGCCTCATCCACTCGGTTATATCGAATCTTGATGGGTTGCTTTCTGTGATGTAGATCGTTTTGTCTCTGAAGCTGGACGTGTCCTGGTCTTCGTAGGTCTCGTGAAGGTTAGTTCGGACAAATGTGTCGTCTCCAGCCCCGCGGGGCTTTTCCAGGCGGATCACGAATGGCTTGGTATCACGCCCGCAGCTCAGAGCCGCCATACCAGATCTTGACGAGTCATCAAGGAGGAGACGCAGAGTGATATGTAGACCTTTGTTGGTCATACTGTACGGCAGCGAGTCGCGCAACCTCTGTATGCCCTTCGACCGTCTGAAATCATGAGGTGATCTGGCCAGAAGCCCGCTCCGGCTATGAGGATCGTCTCTGGTCCATGCAAAGATGGACTGGTCGTCCGACACCTTGAGGATCTCCCTCTGCAGCCGCTCAAATGCCCTCTCGCCTTCCCCATACAACATCGGCATGCTAACCCCGAACAGCCCCATCAAACAATACGCCTCGTCTTCCACTCGCGCCGTTGTTCGATTAGCAGCCCATGACATACGTTCGGCCACGCTAACCTCGCCTGCACGGTTCATTAAAAGAACCTCTGCTGGGATCCCAGTAATCTGGGTGATGACCAGATGGAGGCTAGCCTTGGTTCCGATCTCCTCCCAATGCTTGTTGAAGAATACAACAGACAGTGGCGCTAGCAACTCTTGCAATGTCCATCCTCGCTGAAACCAGACACTCTTCCGAAATTGAGATCCATCCTTAAATGGGTCATCATCGCGGTCTACATCTGCCAGGTAAGCATAGCAGACCTGTGCATTGCGATACCAGTGGAACATGGAATTCAATGCTTCTGAGAGTTCTCCGGGATTGGACTTATTGATACAGCAGGTATCAACCCAGACATGCTGCAACCTGACGTTGCTGGCGAGCTTACAGCAGTTTGTTATCTTGTCGTATCCGGGCTTCTTGGTCATCTCATCGTCGTGAACTTTCTGGTTGATCTGATCGAAGGTGATTTCATCTTCCTCGAGGCCCATCGATGGGATAGAATGGCGTATTCAGGGACGTTTTGAACCTTGGGAGGTACGAGTCTTTTTTCCTTTGTGTCTAACAGTCTGATCATTGTGGATGATGTAGGGACCTCGACTTTGGCAGTCTTTGGGGCGTGTGAGGTGGGGGTTGTAAAGAAATGAACAGCGTGTGTAGCAGATATAGGAGCAAGGACAGGAACAGAATCCAGGACCACACCCAGCTGCCCCAAGATGCTATAAGTAATCGTCTGTCGTCCCTCAGCTGAAGCAAAACTCAACAAGGATCCACTGTCAGCTCCCCCACTCTGGATGGCGATCCCACATACATCGTGCAGGTAGGCTCCACTCTTCGCTGTGCCTTTTAGTGGAAACACGTAATACTGAATTGGTAACTAATTGGGAGTATCAGTCTATCGTATTTCCTTCCAGGCGATAGGCTACTACTAGTATGGTTCATTGCCGAGAAGACCTAACATATCGTTCGTTGTGTGTCGGGTTTCGGTTCGATCGACATGGCGTTCCTCAAGCAACCGCCAAACAGTATAGACTGAGTCGTTTTGTGGAAAGCGTATTACGGTGTCTAACTCATGTCCATTCATGGTTCCTAGCCCGCTCGCTTATTCCGTGCTACTTTGTGAGAGAACAAGATCCACTTTCGTTCGCCGATGGCATGGAACCAACATCTGCCACATAAAACGAAGCGGCCACATTACACAAATGCCAATCTGACTGTTAGCCATTAGGTAGACATAATGAACGAACTCATATCGTATGACTCGAGGGATATTATGTATTCTGGTTCACTGTGGCGGGCGGCTTGTCCCGTGAAATTCCAAATATGCCTCCGTCACTCCATCGAGATTCAGGTCTTGATTCACCTCTCCACGGAGCACATCAGCCTTCCCCAATGCAAATGGTCTAACTGCTACAATACTGCCCTGATCTGCGGTGTTCCGATGCAATGGGTACCCTCTAATGATTGCTGTACTGAAGACGGTTCCCCGTAATTGTTGGCTCAGCTAGCCATTACATCTATGGTGCAAGTAGTAGTGGGGTCATATAGGAAACTTATTACCGCTCGTGCTGTGGGGTGGCGCCAACACATCTGCGCTAGGCCCACCTCTTGTGGCACAACATGCATGAAAGCTGAACTCGATACATAGGCTAGAAAGCTAGGTACGAAGAATGCAAAATGACTGAGCACGGGACTGGATGTAATCTTTCCAACTAGTCTGTTTGGTCCCCCATCGTGCATCTTCACAATCTGCAACCTGGACGACAATCCAACAACGTGAGGGAACCTCAGCTGGGGCACTCGCTTGCTGCTCCCCAGCACACCAGAAAGCCCTTTACTCACACACTTCCTACCGGGTATTAGGGGGTTCAACATGGGTTGCCTTACACGTCAGTAATATATCTATAGGGCTGTAACGTACGGGATGTAGGTCTAACACCGCTCTCAGCATCTAGCCGTAGGTCATGCCCATAGGAGTGGCGTCCGCATAGCCACTACCGCTGTGAACTAGCCTTAACCCAGTATAAACCTCAACAGCATTGTAAGAATATCTCTCGGGCATCTCACCATGTGCCCACTGAGTCAAGATGAAGAGGGAGCAATGTATGTCCCTGTGGAGAGGATGACGGGGAAAGATACGATCCTGATTGAGACGTCGTGTCGTACAATGAAGACAAGATTAACGACCCCCTCGAGGCCCATTCTATCTCAACGATAGAGGGATTACCTCCCCTCAGGGAAACAGGCTATGTCGATGATAACGACGGTGTGGTGGCGGCACGTGGATATGAGTTTGATCTTAGATTGCGTAGTCCCAAGCTACGGTTCGACAGCTGTATTTCACAATCACTGCCACCTACAAAAGAGATCCGTCATCTTCGGGCTCATCCAGATCCCTCCCTGATGGGTACCAAGCGTACATCACTGTGGATATTCTGAATGTGTAGGGCACATTCAACAATGTAAGTAGCAACCGTCAGTTCATCTCGAACCTGTCGAGCGACACCTCGGGCCCAAAACTCTGCCCCAGATGCGCAACACAACTCCGCTCGGGGACCTGCTTGTCGTTAAAGTCGACAGTTGGGTTCAAAAAAGGACCCGGAGTTGTCATTCGTTGCAAACGAAGCCCTAAAGAATGGCCCCAGGAACTACTTGCGGCAAGGTGAACAAGAACACTGTATCGCAGATGTCGCTGGGTATAGTACCGGTTCACACATGATTGTGATTCAGCCAGTCAAGTTCTGCTTCACCATCACGGCAAAAGACGACAACGGCCCTACTCCTGGCTGGCTTCCTCCCCAATATGGATCAGCGTTAAAAGAGGGGATCGAAATGGTTTACAGCCTAGTGGGCAGACAACACTTTCATTTCAATCGGGTAGTACCCCATATTTCCGATCCTTAGCAAGACATCAACAAGCATCATATTTACTCACGACATCATGGCTGGCCTGCTCCTCAAGGTCTGCTATGCACCATCTTCCAAATTCACATGCAAATACCACTATTTGCACCCAAGAATGCCTCCAAATAAACTATCGTGTTATCACTATTTACAGGCGGCATGGAATTTAGGTTGCCTCAGGCATCCCGATGTTATAATCCCATCCAAGCAAAAGACAAGGATCCCGAGGACAATTCAACGATTTATATTGTCCGGGGTTCACATTTCCCACAACAACACTCCCAGCGACGGTGACTGTGAAGTCTTGTATCACAATGTCAAGCGAGGAAGCCATGCTCATTAGCTGCAAAAGCAAGCCAGACACCAACGGGTGAAGTGTGACTTACCGTGCGCTTGATATAACTCCTGCTCCCTAGTATAGAGCGGTCCCCACTACCTTGTCTCGGAAGGCTAGGAGCCAGTGGAAAGCTGGCACGCAGGCACGACCCAACCTTATTGGGCTCACGATGGCCCCGGACGAGAAATGGTTACTGGATGCGTGAGAGACTGACCATTCGAGCTGGCTTACTCGATTTGCCAGCTTTGTAAATGGAGGCATCGATGTCCCAGACAATTACGAAGGGCTAAGCCTCCCGCTGTATTTGATCTGACAGGTTTTGGGATCAGACAGAAAGCCGCAACGCGGTAGATGATAGATGTTATGTCACCAGTGAGAAGACTACAGCGGCGATGCATGCTGAAAACGCTCTGAGGCCCATGTGGGGAACCCATGACAAGGTCATGGAGAATCATAAATCATAATCTCTCACTAAAGATCTTTCATCGTATTGCTAGCCGGTCTACCATTCTTCGTTCGAAACTTCTTTCAATGCACATTTCTTAGTCAAGTAACCAAGTGTTCTTACAGAGTTTATCTGATCTTTTGCACATGCTCAATCTGACAGTCATGTTATGGCAGTTCATGAGAGTGTATATGGGAAGCGTCACGCGTCTAGCACCATAACAAAGCAGATGCTTTTTCGTTTCTTATTCCAAGCTGTCAATATACTTTGTTCAAATGGTTTATCGGTGCGTAACTGGTGGTGCCAAAGTGCTATTGGCTTTCTCTGCACCATGCGACATCTATAGCCATGGTCATCCTGTGGACAACAGCCTGTATGTGATGCTATCTCAAGTATACCGTTAAGGCTATTCTGGGCTACTGATACTGTAAAAGCAAACAAGCCACCACTAAGGGAAGCGATGGTCAACTACTATACGCAATTCAATACATTTGTATAACATATTTACGGTTTTTGTCTATCTATCGTTACCTAGCTAACACACTATCATCGGGATAGGAGATCCTCTATGATCTCCCTACACTTCTGTTTATATATTTTGCCCACGGGCCTTGATCCACATATCTCTCTCTCTCACCGTGCTGAAGCAATCTCAATAACATATACCGCCATTGCCAGTCATTGGTGACAAGCACTCCACAGCCCAGCCCTATCTGGGAACAGATGATGTTCTCCTTCGCGGTGATATCAGATCACGTCTGCACATCTTTCCTGTCAGGGATCTCGCCTGGTTTGGTGATTGGGAGTCGGTTATACGCGCTTTCCCAATGAAGCTCGTCTGAGCCCAACCATCCTTAGCATGTGTCTAACGGTCCCAACATGATTCAGGTCGAAATGGTTGGAACCCACTAGAAAAAGATGCATCCATAGCGATGGTCTTGTTTGTTTCTGATCATTTTTCGTTATTTCACATGTGATTGCGCGGGTCTCTGCCCCTGGCCACAGTAAGGGCTGCTGATTGGCCGAGAGGGGTGAGGTAAGCAGTACTCACGTGACCCAACGCACGCGACACCGCTGGCCTGAAGAGGAAAGGTCGCAGGAGCAGAGGCGACCGCTATCGGCACGTGCGATAAGAGGTGCAGTTCTGGACAGCATGGCACCAAGTACCGCTTCGTTGGCTGTTGGCCCTGGTCAGCTCCTCACTCTTGGTTATACTTGAACGGAAGACGGGAAGACCTGTATCCATTTTACGGTGGGAAGTCACAGTGGTGAACAGAGAAAAAGGGGACAATTTGTTAGGTGGGCTACTACTACTAGTACAGTATACTGTACATACTCTGGAGTAAGTCTATGGCAGGTACCTAGTAGTACTAGTACAAGAGTCCAGACAGGGAACCAAGGGTAATCGGGTCAGGATCCCGAGCTACTACTAGTAGTATAGCCAATGACATTGTGTACCCTGATTGGCTTGAAGCTTCCCGACAGCTCGCAGCAAAACTGTTGAGAGGAATCGAACCGATTTGGACAAAAGTATTAAAAGCAAATGGACTGGAAGCATGTGAAAGTGGGTCAGAAAACGACAAGAGACAGAGTGGGTAAGATATTAAATCGGAGTGGAGGCTCTCCAGAGTCCACGGCTGTTAGTCCACGGGGAAGAGGCTCCATCCGGGCAGTGGATCGGCATATCGATAGAGGGGGGGGATGTCGGTTGCCTCGAAAAGAAGAGAGAGGAGGCTATACGATCTGGACAACGTTCAGGACGGGGGGGGGGGGTTTATAGTTGGCACTACAGCTGGAGACGGACTGACTGGATCGTCCTAGTGAGGGCTGTACCTTGCGAGATGCATACCAAGTAGGGTTCGCAGAGGTGTTCTGACCTTTGTGAGTGGTGCAAAATGAACCCTGTTTAGTGTGTTGAGAGCTGTCTAACCCGTCTGGGTATGAGAACCCGGGCAGCCTGAACTTTTGGCCTGGAAAACATGGAAAAATAATTCAAGAAATAATTAAAATCATCCACGATCGATAACTTAGGCTCATTATCGTCCACCCCCACTATGCTAAAACTATCCACGGAAGCGAAAAAAAAAAAAAGGAAAAAAGGAAAGAAAGCCATTGGTCTCAGTCCCCCAAAATGCCGTCCCTCCTTCGTGTCCCAATGGAATTTCTCGATCTGCGACCAAGGCAACGGACACCTGTGAGTTTCTTTTCTTTATCATCCCGGCATCTTGCCTTCTGTTCCATCAACGCTTAGGAATATCAGTGACTAACACCCAGTTCAGTCTGACTCCTATAGCCCACCACTGTCAACTTAAATACTCTGTCTCTTCAACCGCTTGATGCCTTGAAGATTACTCCATCCTCGTCATCCCCCTCCTGAACCTCCCCTTCCTTGTCTCACGATATAACGATACCATGTCGATCATTGATACCGCCAAAGACCTTTCCGCGCTCTTCACAAAACAAGTCCAGACGACGCCCGATGCCGTCGCCTTAGAGGATGAAAAGATCACCTACACCTATGCGGAATTAGATCAAGAGGTCGAGACCTTGACTCGTCGCCTGCGTGGCTATGGAGTCGGTCGGGACAGTCTCGTGGGGGTGCTGCTACCGCGCAGTGCGGACTACGTCGTTGCCTGCCTGGCGGCTCTCCGTGCGGGCGGCGCATTCCTGGTGCTAGAGCTGGCCTACCCCCCTGGGCTCCTGGCCGATGTGATTGAGGATGGGAGGCCCACAGTCGTCATCACAAACCGGGCAGAGGTTGGCAAGATCAAAGCCAGCGTGCCGGTGATCATTCAGGATGAGCCGGCCTCCACGGCCAACGGCCATGTGCCCGAGCCCTCTCCCCTCCCGGCAGACGACGACTTGGATCGCCTCGCATTTGTATCATATTCGTCTGGAACCACAGGCAAGCCGAAAGGCATTGCCAATCCCCACCGCGCCGCAGTTCTCTCCTATAACCTGAGATTTGGCGTGTCAGACCTACAACAGGGAGATCGAGTGGCCTGTAATGTCTTCTTTGTCTGGGAGATCTTGCGTCCCCTGTTGCGTGGAGCGACGGTAGTTGCGGTGCCAGACGATGCAAGTTATGATCCTGCGGCACTGGTCGACCTGCTGGCGGCAAAGAAAGTCACGGAGACTCTGATGACCCCTACCCTCTTGGCGACGGTTCTTGCCCGTCACCCCCACGTAGGTGATCGGTTACCGGACCTGCGCACGTTGTGGTTCAACGGGGAGGTCGTGACAACGGATCTTGCCCGGCGAGCCAGTAAGGCGTTCCCCCAGACGCGGCTCCTGAATTGCTATAGCGCCTGTGAAACCCATGAGATCGCCTGCGGGGATATCCGAGAGATGTTGCAGCAGATCGACAGCGACGCACTGTATTGCCCCGTGGGTCCCCCCATTGACCCGGAGAACACATACGTTTTGAACGCGTCCCTGCAAAAGGTGGACGTGGGCGTGAGTGGAGAGCTGTTTCTGGCCGGTCCCCAACTTGCCCGGGGGTACCTGAATCTCCCGGAGACGACCGCCAAAGCATTCATCAAGAATCCTTTCGACTCGAACCCCAACTCCCGCTTGTATCGGACCGGCGATATTGCCCGACTGCTCCCGTCGGGACTGCTCGAAATCACGGGACGTGTGGGAGCGATGATCAAATTGCGCGGGTACTCCGTCGTACCGGCTAAAGTGGAATATGAGATTGTCACGCATTTGGCGGTGTCTCGCTGTGCGGTCGTGGCCTATGGAGAAGGCCTGGAGCGTCAGCTGGTCGCGTATATTGTGCGAGACCAAGAAAAGTCCGAGGATCGCCCCGAGGTTGAAATCAATGATTCCGGCCACAGCCCGGCGGCGCGCCGCACCCTTGCGCCGCACTTGGCCCATTATATGATTCCAGCTCTCTGGGTTGAGCTGGACGACCTGCCCACCCATGAAGTCACGGGCAAAGTCGATCTGAAAAACCTCCCGCCACCGCAGAGCCCTCAGTTAGTCAACGGCAACGGGCCGAAACCAGTGAAAGACTCGATCAAGCTCGATGAGATTGCATCCATCTGGGCCGCCGTCCTGAAAACGTCGCGCACCCTGCTCAAGCCCAGTGATGACTTCTTTGACCTTGGTGGACACTCCTTGTCTCTGGCCGACCTATCCTCCCGGCTATCGAGGCACTTTGGCTTCCGCGTGCCAATCACCCGTCTGGCCGAGAACACGACGCTCACAAGCCACCTGGAAACCGTCCGGGCGATCCGGGATGGACACACAGCCGCTGTGCAAGCAGATCTCCCGGCGGTCTTGCGGGCGGATGCGACACTGGATGATGAGATCACGCCCTCCACGGCCGCGGCTTGTCCGATTGACAAAGCGGAGACCGTGCTGTTGACCGGTGTGACCGGCTTCTTGGGAGCATTCCTCCTGCATGATCTAGTGGAGCACACCTCTGCCCGGATCATCTGTTTGGTACGGTTTAATGAGCCCGCCAACGACGACCAGCCCGGCGGTATTGCCCGTATCCGCCGGAACCTCTTAGATTTGGGCTTATGGCGCGATTCGATCATGGAGCGGGTCGAGATCCTCCCTGGAAACCTTTCCCGAACCCGTTTCGGTCTTTCCCCAGACGCGTTCGACGAGCTCGCCAGCCGTGTCCAGGTTGTGGTGCACGCCGCAGCAACCGTGAACCTGGTGTACCCATACGCTGCATTGCGCGGCCCCAATGTGGGTGGTACCAGAGAGGTGCTCCGCCTGGCCTGCAAAGGAGGCGCAACCGTGCAGTACGTCTCCACAAACGGTGTGCTGCCTTCATCTGGGGAGTCTGGCTGGCCCGAGGATGCCCTGTTGGACGTCGACCAAGTGCCCGACAAGCTGCTGGATGGGTATGGGCAGACCAAGTGGGTCGCCGAGCAGCTTGTCCTTGAAGCGGCTCGTCGGGGATTGCCGGTGAAAATCCACCGTGCTGGCACTATCAGTGGCCACAGCGCTACCGGTGCCGCCAACGCGTGGGATCTTCTCACTGCTCTTATCGTCGAGTCTATCCATCTCGGATATGCCCCCGATGTGGACGGCTGGCGGGCGGAGATGACGCCTGTGGACTTTGTCAGCAAGGCCATCGTCCACCTGGCCACCCAGACTCACGCCGACCAAACCGTTTTCCACCTGGGTGATCCCAACCCGCTCAGCATGAACTCCGTCTTCGCGGAACTTCGAGAGCTCGGATACCCCACTCAACCACTCGGCTGGGATGAGTGGGTGGCGCTGTGGACCCAGAAACGAGGCCCGGTGAAGGGCGGCGATGGCGCGTTTACCGTTGACATCCTCCGCAGTGGTATGCCTACGGTTGACTTCCTCCGGGGCATTGTCGTGCTCAACAATGCTGCGACCCAGCCGTCCCTGGCTGACCTGGACCGACCCCAGGTGGGCCGGGCTCTGCTCGAAACCTATACGCGTCACTGGTTCGCCCGTGGATGGCTGACACGGCCTCCCTCCCGGCAGCATGCCCTGGCGAGCTCACCAAAGCCGAGGGGTCCGCTCCATGGAAAGGTGGCCGTTGTGACCGGCGCATCTTCTGGCATTGGTGCCGCCGTGGCGGTGGCATTGGCTCGCGAAGGCTGCCACGTCGCCCTCGCTGCTCGGCGGGTGGATGCCCTCGAATCGGTTAAGAGTCGAATGACGGCCCATGGAGTGAAGGTGATCGCGCGACCAACCGATGTGACGAACAGCGCACAGGTTGAAGCTCTTCTTAGTGCGGCGAATGAAGAGCTGGGCCCCGTTGACATCCTTGTTTCGTGTGCTGGCGTGATGTACTTCACCATGATGGCGAATGTGAAGACCGATGAGTGGGATCGCACGGTCGACGTCAACTGCAAGGGCCTCCTACACTGTCTCTCGTCCACCGTACCGGGCATGCTCGCCCGTAGCCGCGGTCATATTGTTGCCATCTCTTCCGATGCGGGCCGCAAAGTGTTCCCAGGCCTTGGCGTCTACTCCGCGAGCAAGTTTTTCGTCGAGGCTACGCTCCAGGCCCTCCGACTGGAGACAGCGGGCACCGGCTTGCGCGTGACCAGCATCCAGCCCGGAAATACATCGACCCCCCTTCTCAACATGTCGACGGACGCCGAAGCCGTGAAGAAATACGGCGAGCCATCTGGAGCCCAGATCCTGGACCCAGAGGATATCGCCAACTCGATTGTTTACGCCTTGCGTCAGCCCGAACATGTCTCGGTTAACGAAGTCCTCGTTGAGCCCCGGGACGAGCCCATTTAGGTTGGATGATCGTCTCTCCCACGCACGTCGGATATGTTCGGGATCATACTTGATTTTAGCGTCGCGAAGTCTTTCACCCTTGCAGATTTTTTTTTTTTCTTTTTTTTTTTGGTTGTCGTCTTTTCAGGGAAACTTATGGAACAGCTAGACCAGGGATCATACACGGCTATACCGGTATGGGTATAATAGATCATCGGAGTTATTGGAACCTTCTAAAGATAAAAGCCACTATTGAATTCTATTCTTATCAGCCTTGCTGCAAAGGAAAATGAATATGTGATGTAGGCATGGCACATATCATCTGTCCGATGGACTGCGGAGTATGGAGATCGGGCAATAAGGCACCAATCAAGATCATTGAACGGCCGCGTAAAAGACCCTAAACAAACATGGCAAACAGGCCCCAATCCAACCGAAACATTTCTATGCACTGATTTTCTTCCTCTTGCCAGCGCCTCTGATTCCTGTTTTGAAGAAAATTGCCCAGAATCACGAACCTACGGCCTGGTCGACTTCCATGATGGCGCTGTCCACCGCCTCTTCGCCCAGCGGTGATCTTGCACTGAGGCCCGTTCATCGTACTGAAGTACTCGGATTGGACATCGCCGAGCCCTACAAGGGGAATGAACCCAGCCGCAGCAATGACGGATTCGAGATGGGTCGACTAGCTTCGTCACCACAGAATGAGCTGCAGGAGCCAGACTCGGTCAACGACCAGCCACGCAGCCACTGGAGAATCATCGCCATTATGCTCGCCCTTTCCGTGAGTTGTTATCCTGTACCCCATTGCGGGAAACACACATGCAGCGCTGGTAACTGACGCTCAGTCCAGCTCAGCCTTTTCATTTCTGCTCTTGATCAGACTATTGTGGCTACCGCAACGCCAACGATCTCTGCGGAGCTGCACTCGGGCACAGGCTATGTGTGGATTGGTGGCGCATATCTGATTGCCAACGCAGCTAGCTCGAACATCTGGGCCAACCTATCCGACATCTGGGGGCGCAAGCCGATGCTTCTCGCGGCCGTTGCTTTGTTCTTCGGGGCTTCGATCATCTGTGCCAAAGCTATCAACATGCCTATGCTGATTGCAGGTCGTGGTGTCCAAGGTATTGCTGGTGGTGGGCTTCTTCAGCTGATCACCATCATCATTTCTGACCTCTTCAGTGTCCGGTATTCATGACGCTCCTCAAAATCGTGTTGTCCTTGATACTGACCGACTTCAGACTTCGCAGCCTTTTCATGGGCCTCATCGAATTTATCTGGGCCATTGCCGGAGCTTTAGGCCCCATCGTGGGTGGTGCCTTCACTCAGTCAGTTTCCTGGCGATGGATATTCTGGATCAATCTGCCCATTTGTGGAACGGCATTTGTGCTCCTCCTGTTCTTCCTGGATGTCCACAATCCGAAGACCGGGGTCCTGGAGGGCATCAAAGCAGTCGATTGGTTCGGTAGCTTCTCCATTCTTGGGCTGACGGTGATGGTTTTGCTGGGCCTTGACTTCGGAGGAGCCACCTTTCCTTGGAGTTCGCCGAAAGTGATCTGTCTCATTGTTTTCGGCTGCCTGATGTCCCTCTTCTTTATTTACAGTGAAAGACACCTGGCAAAGTATCCGCTTATGCCGCTGGGCATCTTCAAGAACCGTTCGAATCTGGCCTGCTTCGTCGTGGCTTTCACACATGGCTTTGTGAGTATCCAAACTGGAACTCTTCGGATCTCACCTGACACTGACGGTCTACAGGCTTTCCTCGGACAGGAATACTATCTCCCGCTGTTCTTCCAGTCAGCCAAGGAAGCGTCCCCTTTCCACTCTGGTCTGCTCATTCTCCCGTATGTCCTGGCCGAGGCAGCCTTAAGTCTTGCAGCGGGAGTTATTATTCACCGCACGGGCCATTATCTCGAAGTCGTGTGGACCGGAACCGCGCTGGTAGTCCTGGGGAGTGGCCTGCTCATCGATTTCAACGCTGCCTCCTCACTTGGGAAAATTATCTGTTATCAAATCGTGGCCGGTGCCGGATGCGGCTTGCTGTTCTTCCCGCCCCTCCTTGCCCTGCAGAGCAATGTCGCGCAGGATCAAAACGCCTCGGCGACGGCAACCTTCGGCTTCATCCGTAATATGGCCATGGCCATGTCGGTGGTGCTGGGTGGGGTGATTTTCCAGAATGGCATGGACACGCGGCAATCCGACCTCCTGGCCACGGGCCTATCTGACTCCATCGTGAAGGAGCTCACCGGAGCCGAGGCCGCGGCTAACGTGATGGTCATCCAGTCCATCGCGGATACACTGCAGCGAAGTGTCGTCAAGGACGCCTACGCTTGGAGCATGCGCAACATTTGGATCCTGTACACCTCTTTAGGCGCGTGTGGACTCATCTTCAGCCTCCTCATCACCCGCCAGCACCTCAGTGTGGAACATGTGGAGACCAAAACCGGGTTGAGAGAGAAGCAACCCCTTACCGGATCTCAGCAGAACGACTCCGAACCGTAACTCACAGCCCTCCTCCCCTTGGGTGATCCAGCCCAGAGTGGACCATACTCTCGGACTTGGACTTGTCTCTATTTTCATACTGTCAATATTTGCGGGGTATATTAAAAAAGCACATTAATATTCAGAGAGCGATTATGTCTTCATGTACATACATAGCTATCAACAAGCTATACACCATCATCAAGCCCCCACCATAAGCCCTTCCACATCCACATTAACACCCAAATTAATATCCATAGAAACACACCTCACCACCACCCCTTAAAACATCGCAGCAACAGCAACAGCCGCCGCCCCAGCAAGAGGCAAACCAGTAGCAACGGCCCTCGCATTAACGGGCACGCCCACAACCGCAGCGCCAGGAGTCTGCGTCGCCTGGGGCATCGTGAAGGACTCGACACCCCCGGTAACCAACAGGCCCCAGGTGGTAACCCTATCACTGGCGACACTGGCCTTGGTGGACGTGGAACTCGACCAGGACCCGCCTCCCCACGTGCCCGTGGCCTGCACCGTCAACGCACAAGACGCCGACTCCGACCAGTGCGTGAACGTACAGGAGTAGTCCTGCGTGGCCGTCACGGCATCCTTCTCACTGCTCCAGGCTGTGTAGACGCCCGTCAGGCTCCAGGAATCCTGCGCCTGGATCATGGTCCACGGCTTGTCGATTTGGCAGAGCGACTTCGGTGCGTCCTTCGTGCAGCTGATGTGGTAGGTGGTTTCCCGCGCGTTGATCCCCGCCACGCTGCCTGCTATGCCCGAGTACGTCGGCTGCCAGAAGGATACCTCCGCCCCGAAGTAGGGCGCTGTGGTGGTGGTGGTGGCTTTGTCGTCGGCAAGCACGAGGGCTGTGCTGGTGAGGGCCAGGAGGATAGTTTTGAGTTGCATTTTGGATGGACTTCTTTCTTTAGGGAGGGTAGTTTAGTTTGGTTTGATTTGGTGTATATGATATGATATATTCTTTTATGAGATGAGATGATATAAGAGGAGGTTCAAATCACTCGTTGGATAGTAAATCCAGTAGTACTTGGAGTCTCACATAAAAAGCTCAGCACGGAAGCACACAACAGAATAAAAAAAAAAAGAAAGAAAGAAAGAGCCCCGTACTCGCCTCTTATAATAAAAGACCCATGAAAGTCGCCCAGAAAGTAAGCGACCCCGTTAGCCCACAGGCCATGAGCACACACGCGCCGACAGCTGTCTTCCCAATGTAACCTGACCACCAAGCTTCATTTGAAATCCGTCCAGAGGCCTGAACAGGAGACTCCCGGGAGAAGCCGACAGGAACGAGGGCCAGCGATTGGCCGATGCAGGTATATTTGTGAGTCACGGCGCAGGTTGACGATGCTCAATGGTTGCTCGTTGAAGATACTGGGGGCGCTATTGCAGTGGCTCTGAAATTACTCCCTGCGCTAGGGGCCTAGGGCTTCGTTAGCGCTGGCAGTTTGCCGGGGCCGTTTGCTGCTTTTTCTTCTTAGGGCTTAGTGGGCGTGTGTGAGGTCGTGCTGGTTGGGGTTTGGTCCCGGACGCTAGAGCCCGGGAGAGGACGCTAGGTAACTACTGGTATAACTATCTTCTGCTGGCTGTTGGGCCTGTGGGGGAGAGCTGTGCTGCCTGTGCATATGCCTCTTGGCTTATGTCGGGTGGTGCTCGTGCTTATGCGGGGATGTTGGCGCTGATAAGCTGTATGTCTGTAGCTTTGCATTAACACATTCTGGGGAAGACACCTGTCCGCGATATTAATCTAATGTTATCTTTGCTTTGTGAACCGCATTGCCTTCCTGCCCCGTTGTTTGGAGCAAGATGAAACTCTGCTATATCCACGGAGGGGTGCATATTATTATGATGGCGCTATCGCCTCGGGGCTTTGAACTGACTTTTGCCTGCCAGTATCGCGGAATCCTTCATGGAAGGCGTAACTATCACGCAGAAGCAAAGTCTATGTTCATGTCCTTAATATCTTCATTGACAACGATATACAGTTTCGACCCTTGAATCATCATAGTTTGGACTTCCAGCCGGTGGATACGGCTTGGAGTACCACTCCCGTCATCATCAGGACTTTTTCTTCCTCCAGTCGCCGTGCGACTAACTGCAGACTGACCGGCATCCCGTCAACTGCGGAAGCGTTATCTAGAACTCGGTGTTAGCATCGTCTGTCTTGCGGCGCTTTGGAGTGTAACTGTGGGATGTACGTACAATCATGCTGTACCCTGGCATCTACATCACTCAATGCCTGGTGGCCGTGATACGACGCATCCAAAGCCTTACTGGCCTTCACGCCGCAAGGGAAGGACGCAGCAGAGTAGTCCAGGATATTGAATACACCAGTGTATCCCACGTACGCAAACTTACCGTGCTCCACGGAGCTGTATGGGGTTGTTGGGCCTGTTCACAGGACATCAGTTAGCGAACGCAGTCCAAGGGTATGAACCAGAATGGAAACCAGAATCATACAGAGAATTCCATCAATTCCGCTGGCATTCCATCGATGAAGATAGTCTTTCTGCAGAGTATTCCGCTCAAGATGAATCTGCCACATTTCATGGACCCCAAGCTCCGTCGCCTTCTCATAATCTCGCATCTCCTCTCGGAACGGCTCCCCCGTCGGCGCCAGTAGCCCACGCACGGACTTGCCACCGTCGGCGATGAACTTGCGATGCAGAAGCTCCCGCGCTTCCTTGTGCCCTGTTGGCACCCAGTCGATTACCTCGTGGCCGGCTTCCTCAATCGGTCGACCGTTTCTTTCAGTGCACGAGTTACGGGCGGCGTGGGGGTGACGATGCCATCGTTCCACATGACAGCCAGTTTGAGTCGGTGCTTGGGCTCAGCCGGACGCCACGGGATAGGAAGACACTTCGGGTCGTTGACCCAAGGCTCCTGGTCGATGACGGTCTTGGAGTAGAAGGTGATTTCCTCCAATGTCGACGCCATGGGCCCATTGACACTGTTCACGGCTTCTTGACCCGCCAGTCCCGATCGAGTCTGGAAGTTCGGGAATCGTCCGAAGGAAGGCCGCAGTGTGAAGATACCTGTACAAGCGGCGGGGATACGGAGCGAGCCACCTGAAGCCGCTGTTAGCACTCTTCACTGATTGACGGCGTACTAGGATACGTTGGTCTCCTACCAATGTCAGTCCCAACGCCGATGCGACTCGCCCCGAATGAGATAAGCGCCGATTCACCCCCGGACGAGCCACCGGATGTCAGCTTCCGATTGAGGGGGTTCACGGTCCGGCCGAAGACGTTGTTGACCGTCTCGGCGATCATCATCGCGGTGGGCACGTTGGTCTTCACATACAGCACTGCTCCATTTTGCAGGAGGAGATCTGTGAGGGTGCTGTTGTACGTGGCGGGATCGTTGACGAGCGATGTGAAGCCCACCGTGGAGTCTTTGCCGATGATGTTGAAGTTGTCTTTGAGGGAGATGGGGAGACCATGGAATGGGCCTTTTGGCTTGCCTGTCTTTTGCAAGTGCTGGTCCAGTTCCTTGGCTCGAGCGATGGCTTCGTCAAAGAGGATCTCGGAGAGGCAATTTGTCTATATCTCTTAGTATGCTAAATCCGACTTTGTATGACGCGGGGGGAGTATGTACCAATTGGTGAGCCGCGGCAGCGGCCTTACAGAATACCTTCGTCACCTCCTCTGATGTCCATGACCCGGTTTCCAAATGGGCCAGGATCCTAGGCGCCGTGGTGGACAGGATCTCGAGCTCTCTGTTAGTGAACCATCCGGACTGTCGTGGGAACGATGTGACGTCTGTTTGATGGTCTGGAGGAAGAAGATGAGGAGGAATGATCCATTCGGAAGGAATGGCAGCTCTCAGCGACTCCTGTTTGCTTTTCGCGATTGCCTGCCAGGAACTCATCTTATGCGGTACAGAAGGTGGCCAGAATTGGAATTGGAAGAAAGACGAGCGTTGTGGGCTTAGTATCGGGCATTATTGGGAAAGTACTCTCCGTCTTATAGAGACGAATGACACATCGCAGCCCTGCATAGATGCAGCAAGGGACGACTGCGGGGATCCTGAAGCAAAGAACGGAGTATCACCCCCTCACGCCTCCTCACCGATAAGATCCAAGTGCCTAGGCTCAGTGATATCGTCGAACCTTCTTCGTTTTGTTCCTCTTTGTCTCGGTCCTGATGTCCTATAGCAATCGCCGAGGAAGGTTTATCTGAATCAGGTATCGTTGAGATAGCCGGTAAACGAGGATGTCTATCAGCATTTAGCTACTCATTCACGTAGTATCCGGCAGTAGATAGCCGGGCTAGTGGCACCACAGCATTTCGTATGGTTCGTATCGCAATTGAACCGCAGTTCCACTTAGGGTTCCGCGATGTCATTGGAAGAGCGGATGTCACGGAATGAAAGCCGAAGTCAAGTGATAAGACTGACAAACGCGGGGTTGCGACTCAAATCGATGGCTCTCAGCAACACGGTGGGTCTGTCTATTTATCGGTCGTTGCTATACTGTGGTTCTGAGCATGGCTGCCATGAGGGTGTTGAGAATATCTCTTCCATGCTGTTATCGGTGACTTCTGAGACCTCGTTGACTATTCCGGCGTATCAGACGTCGAGTAGACAGCTACCTGATAACCCTCTCGGGTCTATCAACGCCAAGCATTTTGTTTCTTTCCAGACTCCAGATGAATCGACCTGGAGCTCTTCCGCTCGGTGCCACCTTATCTTTTCATTGGTGAGGTTGGACAAATGTCTGGGCAGGCGGGATTGCTGATAGCAGCCCGGGTTGTCCTCCTCATGGCGATCCCCATTAGAGTTTACACAAAACGAAAGAAGCATGGCCCTGGAATACTCTGGCTAGTCGGAGTGTTTTAGTATAAAGAGGCTTGAGGAAGCTCTCTGTAAAGTAGGCACTCACCTGCCCTTCGCCAAATTGTGCCCATAGCCGATATTCACCATGTTGGCTAATCTCAAAGCCTACCTGAAAGGCCAGGAATCAAGGCCCGGGGAGGCCAAACTGCTGCGAAAGCTGGATTTCTTCATCCTCTCCTTTTGTTGCTTGATGTACTTTTTCAATTATCTAGATCGCTCTAATCTATCCAATGCTTACGTGTCGGGGATGAAAGAAGAGCTCAACTTCCAAGGAAACCAACTGAATGTGATCAATACCGTGTTCACTGTTGGCTATATCCTCGGTCAAATACCCTCCAACTTAGCATTGACCTACTTTGCCCCCCGCATCTTCTTTCCTTGCATGATTGTGTTCTGGGGCGGTCTTACCATGATCACAGCTGCGGTGCACAATCCTCAGGGCATCATGGCCATCAGGTTCTTCTTAGGGTTGGCGGAATCCAGTACCTTCGCTGGCACGCATTACATTCTGGGGGCGTGGTACACCGAGAAAGAACTGGGCAAGCGAAGCGGCATCTTTACTGCCTCTGGACTCGCCGGTACCATGTTTGGGGGGTTCATCCAGGCCGGCATCCATTCATCGCTCGACGGAGCCCGTGGACTATCCGGATGGCGATGGCTGTTCATCATCGACGGACTGATCACCCTGCCCATTGCACTCTATGGGCTGTTCCTGTTCCCTGATACTCCCGCCACAACCCGGGCGCCATATCTCTCGGCTTCTGAGCGAGCCCTGGCCATCTCCCGCATGCCTGAGGCAAGCCCAGCGAGGTCACGCTTGGACTTGGCCTTTGCGAAGAAGATCTTCGGCACCTGGTACTGGTATGGCTTCGTCATGCTCTGGATCATCGCCGGCGAGACGGAGTCTTTCTCGACCAACACCCTGCTCGCGCTCTACATGAAATCACACCCTACCAACGAATATACCGTCTCACAGCTGAACAACTATCCATCGGGGGTGCCCGCCGTGGGTATCGTGTCGACCTTATTCTGGGCTACCTTGACCGACTTCATGGGCGGGAAACGCTATCTGGTAGGGTTCTTCATTGGGATCACCGGCATTATCACCTCTGCCCTTATTCTGACTCAATTCTCCTCCACCGCGACGGTCTTTGGCGCCTACTACTGGGCCGGCGCCGTATATGCCTGCCAGGCTACCTTCTTTGCCTGGTGCAACGATGTCATGCGGTATCAGGATGGCCGAATGCGCTCGGTGGTCATTGCCAGTATGAACTTGGGGAGTAATGCTGTCAACGCGTGGTGGAGCATCCTATTCTACTCTGCTACGTTTGCCCCCCGGTTCACCAGGGGTATGTGGGCTATGATCGGGTGTTCGATTGCTCTGATCCTCTGGACGATCGGTGTTATATATATGAGCATGAGAGAGACACGGGAGGGGCTGGACGGTGTTGAGCAGGGTGAAGAGGAAATCGCAGAGGGGTCGATTTACAAGCCCAAAGACTAGAATGAGCATTAGTAGCGAAAACAATACATTTTCTGTTTTTTCCTTTTTTTTTTTTTTTTTCTTTTTTTTTTTTGAACTGTGATGTGGTAAGCAATATTTGTCAGTGGGGACTGAAGAAAGGACTTTATCGGCATGTTCCGATAAGAGAAACGCGGGAGAATCAAATGCGGAGACTCCGACCCCCATTGACGTCGTTGATATGTTATTTATTTCTTTCTCTCCTCACTTTGAACTTCTGTCTTCTTCTCCAATTCCTCTTCCCAAGACCAGTACTCCCAATTGAGCTTGAATCCAAAGTCGCAAGGCCGGTCCTTGCTGAATCGCTGTCCACGAACACCACCACCAAGCAGAATACAACCACCACCACCACCACCACCATGGCGCCCATCCTCACCACCACGCCGACACTCACCGTTGCCCCTGAGCCACTCACCAAAGAAGCCTTCGCGCCCTTTGGCACCGCAATCTACTCCCCTCTGCCGCGCGACCTGAATCAAGCACCAGCGAGCGTCTCCTCTCTGGCACCACACAGTCCCACGCCGGTGCTCGCCAACCAAAACTCGGCGCTGAAGTACAGCCCGATCTCCCCGCTGCAAGACAACTACCCCGGCCACTGCCCCAGCAAGCATCCGTCCGCCGCCCGGATGACCATGTTCAGCTGCTTTCCACGCCAACTGCGCGGCCAGAACACCGGACTCTTCGACGTGCGCATCCTCGAGCGCCACCCCTTCACCACCCAGACCTTCACCCCCATCGACCTCTCCAGCCAGTCCGATGCCGGCGGCCAGCCCGAACCCTTCTTCCTGGTCGTCGTCGCCCCGACCCTGAAGGGACAGACCGCTACCGCCATGACGCCCTCCGGCCCCGTGACCGTGCGCGATCCCCCCGATCTGAAGAATCTGAGGGCCTTTGTCGCGCGCGGGGGCCAGGCCGTTACCTATGCGGCGGGCACGTGGCATGCGCCCATGGTCGTGCTGGGCTCCAGGAGGGTGGATTTCGTCGTCGTGCAGTTTGTGAATGGGGTGGATGATGAGGATTGTCAGGAGGTGGCGTTTGGGGAGGGGGTTGTCGTTGAGGTCGGGGGGAGGGCTGCGGCGAAGCTTTAGAGTGGCTTGTGTTTTTCTTTGCTTGACTATGGGTGATGTGGATGGCTGGGTTATGAGGTTATGTTGTATTATATCCTAGGGTGCCTGTGTGGTCTTGTATGAGTTGATGGCTATTGTACATATAATGGTGTGTGTGTGTGTGTGTGTGTGTGTGTGTGTGTGTGTGTGTGTGTGTGTGTA